CTGTATCAAAATAACATTAATTTATTATTATTATTATTATAATATAGCAATGACCCTATATAAAAACAAACCTTTAAGAATATAAAAAATTCCCTAAACACTCAAAAATTACCCTTGGCCTTGTGGCTCCAAGTTAAGATCTAGACTGTTTATATTAACAATGTTTTTTCTCGCACCTCTGTCTCCACGGAGAGAAATCACTGTTGTTCTTAGGATTTCAAAGCGAAGGCGCTTTCTGATGTAACCTACAGCATCCGAGTACCTCTGGCCAGTGTGGTACTCCATCTTACTGGCCAGCTTTTTTACCAGTCTTTCAGCCTCACTACCCATTCCACCAGAAGTCGAGAACACTAAAGGTGTGAAGCTTCCTTTCTCCACTTCAAGAACCCTTGCGTTGTAACATCGCTTTTTCTCATTTTCATGGGACTGGTACATTGCTGGGATCGATTTGCTTGCATTGGAGGGGGCTGGGGCATGAAATACCCTTCCATCAAAATATGCCCTCTCTGAAGCATTCCAAATCGATCTTGCAGAAATGTCCAGCCTAGCTTGGTCTCCAAGTACTGTTCCCTTAGGCAACTTCAGACCATCAACTGGAAGAAGATATGTGATTGTATTCAATGTGAAGGAAAATGTGGACGATGGTTCCATGCGGCATGTAGTGGACTGTCGGAGTTGCAGTTTAAAGACCTAGCAGAAAATGAGGATTCTGAGTGGTCATGTCAAAGATGTGGCAAGGAGGAGAAGAGCAACGAAGACGAAGACGAAAACCCCATAACTGAAGCTATCCGAAAGTTGAGGAGACAGGTCGAAGAAAGTGTACAACCATCTACTCCAATATCAAAGGACCCTCATATTGTGGAAGAAGAGGGAAAGGAGTGCTGTTTCCCAGGTTATGAAAATGTAAGGGATCCATCTCAATTGAAATTAAGATCATGGAATAGTTGGGAAGTTCTAACACAATGTGAGGGAATATATGGTGTTGTAGTCAAATGGAGAAGAAACATATTTCTGCTTCCCTCAGGGGCTGCAGGAAAAGCATTCATTGAGGAAATGACTAAAGTGGCCAACAATTTTTCAGCAGGCAGTACTATGGAATCAGTGATCATGACCCTTTTGATGATAATGCCATCACTACTGTTGCAGAAACCCTCAAAGAGATCCAAAGCAAAGGAACACACTGAAGTGTTGAAGAGAAGGCTTGTTTTGTGGCAGGCAGGTAAGTTAGAAGAGTTGCTGCGAGAAGGACAGGAGATTCAGAGAAGAATGGGAAAGGGGAAACATGAACATGGCCATGTTGAGAGAGTCTTCACTCGACTTATGATGAAAGGTAAAGTCAGTGCAGCAATGAGGTGGATTGGCGAAAATGCCACCGGGATTCTTGAACCCACTCCAGATGTGATAAAAGTACTGAAAGAGAAGCATCCCAAGGCATCACCTGCATCAAAGGGAAGCTGTCAGAGTGGACCAGTGAGGAGAGTAGAGCCGGTTATCTTTGACAGTATTGACGGGGAATCGATAAGACAAGCAGCAAAGAGAGTACAGGGTGCTGCAGGGCCTTCAGGAATGGATGCGGATGCGTGGAAGAGACTACTGTGTTCTAAACAGTTTGGTAAGAAGTGTGAGGATCTATGCAATGCTATAGCAGGGATAGCAAGGAAACTATGTGTCAGGAATCTGGATCCAACGATGTTGACCTCATTGACAGCATGTCGACTTGTTCCCCTGGATAAAAAGCCTGGCGTCAGGCCTGTTGGCATTGGTGAAGTCTTACGAAGGATAATAGGGAAGACAGTGATGACCCTCCTACAGAAGGATCTGGTTGGTGCCACTGCTCCTATTCAAGTGTGTGCTGGTCTTCAGGGAGGAGTGGAAGCAGCTGTTCATGCTGCGAGGGACTGCTTTGAAGATCCTGAAACTGAAGCCATCATCTTAGTGGATGCAGAGAATGCATTCAACTTGCTGAACCGAGAGGCAGCTCTTAACAACATGTATATTGTATGTCCAGAAGTTGCTACCTACATTATGAACACCTACAGAATGCCTGCTAGACTGTTTATTGCAGGAGAAGATGAACATCTTTTTAGTGAAGAAGGGACAACACAAGGTGATCCACCTGCTATGGGATTTTATGCATGTGGTACAATACCATTGATTGATGCAGGAAACATTGAGAGAAAAGTGACTCAGATCTGGTATGCTGATGACTCTGCTGCTGGGGGAAAACTGGAAGAAATGAGGAAATGGTGGGATAACCTCTGCATTAAAGGACCACTTTTTGGTTACAACCCTAAATCTTCCAAGACATGGGTGATAGTCAAGCCTGAGCACGAAGAGAAGGCAAGAAACTTGTTCCCAGATGTCAATGTGACAAGTATTGGTCGACGATATCTGGGCAGCTTTATCGGAACTGATGAAGGAAAAGGGGCTTTCATCGAGGAAAAAGTTCAAGAATGGTGTCGTGATCTTAAACAATTAAATGATATAGCATCAAGAGAACCTCAAATAGCATACAGTGCATACATGTATGGGCTTAGTAAAAGATGGAACTATGTGTGCAGAACTACCCCAGGAATTGCAGATAGGCTCACTCCTCTGGAACAAGTAACACGTGATGAGTTTATCCCAGCTATCATCAACAGGCTGTTTAGCTGCACTGATGAACTAAGGAACATAATGGCTCTACCACCAAGATATGGAGGATTGGGTATACCAGTTATGATGGACATGGCAGACCGAGAGTACAAATTCTCATGTAGAGCCACAAAACCCCTTAAAGAAGCTATTCTCAAGCAGGTAGACAACTACACAGCGGACTGGAGAGTAAGCAAAGGAGTGAAAACTGAGATAACAACTGAACGAAATCTCTTCTATCGACAAAAACAAGTGGATATACGCCAGGAGCTCGAGTCAACACCACTGGCAAAGTTGATGTTCCAACTAGCTGCTGAGAAAGGGGCAAGTGCTTGGTTAACAGCACTACCTTTAAAAGAGTATGGATATCTGATGAACAAACAACAGTTCTCAGACGCAATAGCACTCAGATATAACCTAAACTTAAAGGACAGCCCTAAGACATGTACGTGTGGCCAAAAGTACTCAGCAAACCATGCGCTCATCTGCAAACTCGGTGGATATGTGTCACTGCGGCACAACTCGCTGAGAGACACCTTTGCTGAACTAATGAGAACTGTGAAATGCAAGGATGTGCAGACTGAGCCAGTTCTTCTTCCAGTTGATGGTCTGAAGTTGCCTAAGGGAACAGTACTTGGAGACCAAGCTAGGCTGGACATTTCTGCAAGATCGATTTGGAATGCTCCAGAGAGGGCATATTTTGATGTAAGGGTATTTCATGCCCCAGCCCCCTCCAATGCAAGCAAATCGATCCCAGCAATGTACCAGTCCCATGAAAATGAGAAAAAGCGATGTTACAACCTTGGGTTCTTGAAGTGGAGAAAGGAAGCTTCACACCTTTAGTGTTCTCGACTTCTGGTGGAATGGGTAGTGAGGCTGAAAGACTGGTAAAAAAGCTGGCCAGTAAGATGGAGTACCACACTGGCCAGAGGTACTCGGATGCTGTAGGTTACATCAGAAAGCGCCTTCGCTTTGAAATCCTAAGAACAACAGTGATTTCTCTCCGTGGAGACAGAGGTGCGAGAAAAAACATTGTTAATATAAACAGTCTAGATCTTAACTTGGAGCCACAAGGCCAAGGGTAATTTTTGAGTGTTTAGGGAATTTTTTATATTCTTAAAGGTTTGTTTTTATATAGGGTCATTGCTATATATTATGTGTATATTGTTTGAATAATTTTATATAATACTGGAAGAAGAACTGGCTCAGTCTGCACATCCTTGCATTTCACAGTTCTCATTAGTTCAGCAAAGGTGTCTCTCAGCGAGTTGTGCCGCAGTGACACATATCCACCGAGTTTGCAGATGAGCGCATGGTTTGCTGAGTACTTTTGGCCACACGTACATGTCTTAGGGCTGTCCTTTAAGTTTAGGTTATATCTGAGTGCTATTGCGTCTGAGAACTGTTGTTTGTTCATCAGATATCCATACTCTTTTAAAGGTAGTGCTGTTAACCAAGCACTTGCCCCTTTCTCAGCAGCTAGTCGGAACATCAACTTTGCCAGTGGTGTTGACTCGAGCTCCTGGCGTATTTCCGCTTGTTTTTGTCGATAGAAGAGATTTCGTTCAGTTGTTATCTCAGTTTTCACTCCTTTGCTTACTCTCCAGTCCTCTGTGTAGTTGTCTACCTGCTTGAGAATAGCTTCTTTAAGGGGTTTTGTGGCTCTACATGAGAATTTGTACTCTCGGTCTGCCATGTCCATCATAACTGGTATACCCAATCCTCCATATCTTGGTGGTAGAGCCATTATGTTCCTTAGTTCATCAGTGCAGCTAAACAGCCTGTTGATGATAGCTGGGATAAACTCATCACGTGTTACTTGTTCCAGAGGAGTGAGCCTATCTGCAACTCCTGGGGTAGTTCTGCACACTTAGTTCCATCTTTTACTAAGCCCATACATGTCCTTTAACACATATCATATTGCATGATTCTATTTATTTTAATTTAAAGCTGTTTTTATTGTTACATCTTTGCTAAAGTACAAAGTAATGTAAAGTAAAGTAAAATTTATGACATCACATCCATCTGTCTACTAAATATCATCGTACTATGTAATGTGAAAAAAATATATAATAAATATTGCCCCACCAACATTAATTCTTTATCGAATACAATATTGAAAAATATTTGATTGATGGCTAAGGAGGACATTGCCAAAATACCTATCTTTCTTATATTTATTGAAATAAACATATAATATCCATTACTCCAGGAGTGATGACAGGATATACATCTTTCTTAACAAACAAGTAGCAGTTGTACAAGTTATTTTCACCCTATTTTGTTTCATAAAAATATTACTGTGAGCCGTGAGGGTACTTTTCAGTACACAAACATTGTATTTTACTATTAAAAATGGTAATTTAATAATTTTACAGATACATGTACTGTAAATGACATCATGAACCGTCTTGTGGTTCGTACCTTGTCAAAGAATAGATTATGTATACTTCTTCACCTGCCATATCAAACAAAACGCTTTGATCGATCATCAAATGAGACTGTGGAAGCATTTGTCAACAGGATAAAATCAAAATTACCCACTGAAGTTAAAACAGTAGCTCTCACTGACTGTAGAGGAACTACTGTTAAGAAAACTGTCGAGTTGTGTGATGCTCTAATCCCAACCAACCAATTCGTTTGTAATGACATTGTTTATGAGATTTTGGTTGATCCTCCTACTATCGAATCTCTAAAGATTCCCAATACACCAGTCGCAGGTTGGTTACAAATCTTTTTTGTTTGGCAAGTTAAATTTCTACAGACTATATTGGTTGGTAGATTTTGGTCTTATTATTTAATGTTATCAGGTCTGGCGATCTCCCCCACAGTCAAATTGATAGATTTGACCTTAAATGACCTCACTTATACTTGGGAGACTAAAGCTAAAGACAGTGATTCATGGGAACAAATCTCAACTTCAGAGGTGCTATTGCTGTATCAAAAGCTGGTCGGAAATGTTATACGACTTTCGAGTAAAGCTGTGGGTAAGTCTTTATTTCTGTCATTGTTACTAGACATTGGTTATAATGTCTCCTTATGGTAATTGATGGCCAATGCACATGTGGAGCATGAGTTTATTTCCATTTCCATGTTGTAATCATCTATTTCTTTACAGGAGTAGAGACAGTTTTTTCTAATGTTATTGGTCCAGTAATTGACGATAAAGATACCAACATATTGCTCTCAAGAGCTGTTCCAATAGAATATGGTTATACAAGACTTATGTCCTACAACATTTTGGCTGGTGAGTAACATTATATAATACCCATTAAGAAATAAATTTCTCACAAGCATGGTGACTTTTAAACATTCCAGCTGTGTTTTTGGGTAACTTTTAAAGAAATAAAAAACAGCTGTGGTCCATAACAGGCCGCCATTACATAAGAACAGTCATTTAGCAGCCTTGTAAATTCTAGAATTAATGATTTCTAAGTTTGCAGATGTTTTTATGGAATCTAAGACAAAGCCAATCACAAACCATTTTCCTTACTGTTCAAAGAAGTACCAGGCCAGGGAATACAGAGAGCCAAGAATTGTGGCTGAAGTTTGGGCTCACAATCCTCACCTGCTCTGTTTGCAAGAAGTAAGTTAGTACTGCACTGGTCAGTATTGAATTGTATTCAGTTAAGTTATGATTTAAAAGAAGAAACTAATAATTCTGAATTGATATCTGCCCACCTTTCAAGGAAACCAATGTAAAACTGCTCAGGTTGAAGATAAAACATTTAGCAAATATCTGGTGCCAATGTTGCAGTCGTACCAGGGACACATTACAGTGAAAAAAGGAAGATTCAAAGCTGGTTGTGCTATTTTCTTTAAACTTGACCAGTATGAAGAAGTAAGTTATGTTGCAAATAGCAGTGCACATAATATTATAATCTGAACATTATACTGATTGTAATACCCAGTTACTCTTTTTTTAGATTTTTTTACATTAGATTAAATTCATCGTTTCTACCTCGCATTGTACTCTATTTGTACTAGTTTCCTGTTTATTTATGAGCAAATTTTGCATTCTCAGTCCTCAACAGAGTATGAGTAATTGATTTTTTAAAAAGTGCTTCACTTTTCAGTGCCAGTATGAAAGTTTCCCTTTACCAGATTTGTATCAAGAAAACTCTCAAATGTTGGACTTGATCGACCTTGGTAAGTTCAAACAGATTTTTTCCCGATCCATGACTCAAGTGCCGAAGGCACAAAAGAGTCAAGGACAAGGGTTAGCGATCGAGGTTTTTTTGGGATATGGTAGCTTTGCGACCGTACCTGCGTGCGAGCGTGCGTGTCTGCGTACGTTTCGCCCACGTGTCTGCCTGCGCAAAGTTATTTTGCGCGAAAATCTGAATTAAACAATTGTTGGCGCGCGGTGCTGAAATGTTCAAGTACATTGTTAATTTCATCATGTACGCATCCCGCTCGGGACTAATTGATAGCATATTATTATTATTTTGAGTTAGTATTACTATTTTGCACAGATCCGTGTCAGGTTGCATAAACAATAAACATATGGTTACATAGAAATATACACGATTTTCAAATTAAATATGGAATTATATCAACTGGGCGGCGCTCGGCCTGTCACTCCGCCATATCTGCATGCTTATAAACAGTAAAGACTGGGGTCCACAGGTGGTATGGAATATGATCAAATACTCCATCACGGATCGGGAAATTGAGCGGCCATCCACAAAAGAAAAGCGGCCGCATTTCTTGTTAATCGATAATATGCAACGATTATTAAATATACATTTGACATCGTAATTTAAAGTAAGTAATATCATATAATAATGCACACAACCTGTCTAGATTGATTGCTTCACGAGTGTAACCAGACTAAGCTGTGTAGAATTCGGCCCGACACAGATGTGGTTAAATTAGAAGGAAACCGTTAATATATTGACGGGTTAGTTGTATAAACTGGAAATTCTAAATGTTAATATTTGGATAAATTAGTTAACACTAGAAACTCCAGGTAACCAAATGAACAGCAAATTTCCAGAAACCTGGAGAGACATATCAATCAGATCGATCATGTCACAGATAGTCGTTTTAAAAAACAAAGAATCCAAGAAACTAGTAATAGTTGGCAACACACATCTGTACTGGAATCCTAAATACCACATAATAGCACTGTTCCACATACATGCCCTCTGTAGCAAGATCCAGGCTGTTAGGAAGGTTTATCAGAAGCAGGGGGAGGGTGTCAGTGTGGTTATTTGTGGTGATATGAACTCTCAGACAACCAGTTTAGTTCATGCTTATCTCACTGATGGAGTGGTCTCGCAGGTATCTGAACAATTCTTATTCTCAGCTACTATTTGTATTTTATTTATTGTTTTGTTTTGTTTTGCAATACAAGTTAGACTGTTTTGCTTATGCAATGGGTGTTCAGGTGGCGCACTTCTTCGAAACAATTTTCAGTTACTTCGATTTCCATACGTTAGAAAGGTACAAATTTTCACAACACAACATAATATATTCAGGTCGAGAATGGGGACGAATTGCAAAACTTCTTGCATAAAAATGTTCGGAATCCTTTAAAACTTACTCTGGCCCGGGGTGAACCAAACTACACAAACTATACTGCTGACTTTAAAGACGTTATAGATTATATCGTGTGTGATGAAAATTCAACGGTTAGTTGGAGAAGCTATAATAATCTCTATTTTGATCATAATGATTACAAATAAATCCTCACTTTACTATCTTGTTTTCGTCTTAAAAAGATAGAAGCTAATGTTTGGATTTTATATCAAAACTATTTTCACAACTAGAACTACAATTAAATAAATTTATTGAGGACGTTACAGAAGGAATATATTTAAATTAGTCCGAGGAGTCATCACTTTCATCGCGGCCTAAGATGGCGTTAATCTTGTCGCATATCGTAGAGATCGTAATTTTTGATTTGTGTGATTTGTACTTTCAAATTTACCCTTTTTCTAATTTCCAGGTTGGCCACGTGACTCCATCTCCAAATCTGTCTGATCTGGAGGAAAGTGAGGGATGTCCTAGTGCTATATTCCCCTCTGATCATCTTCCCATTATATCTGATATCTTACTTGCAGATACTGTTTAGATCTTAACAACTTTTAGCACTTTCTGTGAAATATTAATTCCATCTTTGACCGTGTATGGACTATTTTGTTGAATTTGTAAATTCGGGGATTAGTTATTATTGATATTATTCAGTATGATATCATATTACAAACAGTTTTGTTTTATTAAGTAAACAATTAAATGTGATTTACATTATTAATAATTGATGTGCTTTGGTTACGTGGTGTGAATATTAGTAAGTTTTAATTTTATATACAGGGTGGCCCATAAGTGACTACCCACACGCAACCTCTTAATAACTCACGTAATTCGTCTCCAAATTGCACCAAAATTTCAGAGATTATAGATATGGGTCAAACTTAGATTTCCTGAAAGTTTCGTAAGCCACGCCCAATTACAGTGGGCGTGGCGTGACACTCCCTCTTTTTCACTATTGTCTTCATAAAATGAGAACGCTTTAAGCTAAGAACTCCAAATTTTTTGCACACATTTGGCTTGATAATTGAAAACCTTTCCCAAAGTTTCAAGTTCATTGGTTAAAATATGGCTAAGTTATGACCATTTCAAAACTCATCGGATACGTGATCCGAGCACTCAGTCAGTGATCTCGTCACTTGGATAATGGCCTGTTTGGCTCACATGCACCGCTTGATTGGTTGCAGCCTGCTTATGGGCCGGCCTATACAGCTGACAGCACCTAAAAGTAAAACGCTATCACACGAATTTATGGTGGTGTCACCATTTCAGGGCTTGTTAGCCCTGCTATTCGCAGGTTCCTTACAATCAATAAAAATGGTTCACTATCCTCCCTTTACTGCAGAACAACGATTGTTCGTCTACCTGAAGAAAGAAAATGGGGAGTTCTACCCTCAGATTAAACGACAATTTCAGATGAAATTCAACCGACCACCCCCTTGCCGGAAAAGCTGCTTTGACATTCATCACAAGATCAAGTTTACGTTTTCTGCACACGATCGGCGAAGAGTCGGCAGAAGACGAACTGCGAGGACTGTAGAAAACATCACGATGGTTGTTGGTGACGTGATGGACACACCTAAGATTGGCACCCGGAAACGAGCTCCTGCCTTAGACCTCAGCAGAACAACCCTTCAGCGAATCCTAAAGCAAGACCTTTCTAACCGGGCCTACCGAATCACAAAGAAACACAAACTTTTGGACCGTGATTTCCAATCGAGGATAGATTTCGCCAACACATTCCTTGAACATCTTAATTGAAATTATTGAATTGTTTTTGTGTGGGAATTTTTATTAGTTGATTTCATTTATTGATTTATCCTAAAAATTTGTGTTTTCCTTTCTAGCAAAGACATCATCGGTATCCAATCAAAGCCTAATGAACCTCATTAATACACGATAACGCCTTACTCTTGATCAGATTGGGTGACGAGATCACTAATTGAGTGCAAATATCACTGACTGAGTGCTCGGATCACATATCCGATGGATTTTAAAATGGTCATAACTCAGCCATATTTTAACCAATGAACTTGAAACTTTTGGAAAAGTTTTCAATTATCAAGCCAAATGTGTGCAAAAAATTTTGAGTTCTTAGCTTAAAGCGTTCTCATTTTATGAAGACAATAGTGAAAAAGAGGGAGTGTCACGCCACGCCCACTGTAATTGGGCGTGGCTTACGAAACTTTCAGGAAATCTAAGTTTGACCCATATCTATAATCTCTGAAATTTTGGTGCAATTTGGAGACGAATTACGTGAGTTATTAAGAGGTTGCGTGTGGGTAGTCACTTATGGGCCACCCTGTACTATTATAACTTTTATTTTAGCTTGGTCGTTCCTTTCGAATATAATAAACTATTGAGCTTAAGTAAAATTAAAGACTGTAGTTAATGAAATAAGATTATACATTTTGGGATACTGTCCCGGTGGTTCAACTGGGAAAATATTTGTAATTTTCATTGGATAAGGCACGTTATCAATTCCAAATTCCTTCACGATCGAATTTTAAATAAATGTACTTTTATATATCTCTTATATTCCAATACCTCAGAATGTCTAAAGACTGTAAACAAGAGATCAAATCAGAACAAGTGGAGATCCCAGAAAAGTCAAACGGTTTCCTGTGCCCAATGTGTGGAGCACATTACTTTTCAGAAGACTACTTTGTTGAGCACATCAAAGAACATAAAACAAATTCAAATTATAGTACAATAAAACAAGAACTTACACCTGAATCAGATAAACCATATATTTTTATCTGTCCAGTTTGTGCTGAACATGTTTACTCAGAGAGTCTGTTAATAGAACATGTAAAGCAGCACCATGATCATAGCAGGCCAGAAGTACCTGACTACTTTGATACTTCAGATAACTTGACTGGAACTGATCCTCAGAGGACATTAGTTCTGTCTCTTAGTAAGAGTCCGCCTGTGAGACCATTTAGGTGTTCACAGTGTACATTCAGTGCAGCATATTCGAGAACACTTATAGAACATCAAAAGATTCACTCTAGCTCTGTAGAGAACCGTTTAAAATGTTCTGAGTGTTCATTTGCTACAAAACATACCGGTGATCTTACTGTACATATGAGAACTCACTCAGGTGAGAAACCCTTCAAGTGTTCTGAGTGTTCATATGCTGCAAAATATTCAAGTCATCTTACTAGACATATGAGAACTCACTCAAGTGAGAAACCCTTCAAGTGTTCTGAGTGTTCATTTGCTACAAAACATGCAGGTGATCTTACTGTACATATGAGAACTCACTCAGGTGAGAAACCCTTCAAGTGTTCTGAGTGTTCATATTCTGCAAGACGAGCAGATCATCTTACTGTGCATATGAGAACTCACTCAGGTGCAAAACCTTTCAAGTGTTCTAAGTGTTCATATGCTGCAAAACATGCAAGTCATCTTACTAGACATATGAGAACTCACTCAGGTGACAAACCCTTCAAATGTTCTGAGTGTTCATATGCTGCAAGACAAGCAATGCATCTTACTAAACACATGAGAACTCACTCTGGGGAGAAATGATGCAAATGTTCACAGAGCTCTAATGCTGCAAGAAAAATGAGTGATCCTACAAGAAATATTAGAATCCACTATGGTGAGAAACTAAATTGGCAGTCCTGCAAGATGTTGTTCAGTTCTTGATAATATGGTGAGACATTATGATTTGGAATTTGTTGCCTTTATTGACATTAAGGCCAGAGGGGGGGGTAAATGGCACTTTTCTAGTTTTCACATATTTGATAATAGCTGCTGGAGACGAACAAGAAGAAAAAAACCGGATCAAAATCTGACCTTGCGTTCCTGAGATATCGCGCGCTAAATTTTGAGGTTTACCTGTAATCACATGTTAAACTGGATATTTAAACGGCTGTAACTTTTTTGACCTTTCGATTCCTTAGTTGAGAAAACTGGCCACTCCCTGATCTTGAGGTTTGGTACAGTGGTTCCTTGGACAATTATCCTCATTTATGATGCAGCGATTTTTTTTATTTGACTCGGTTCTTGAATCATGAGGTTAACCATGTCAAAAATTCGACAAATTTAGCTGGTTAACCTCATAATTCGAGAAACGAGTCGAATAAAAAAAATCGCTGCATCTAATGTCTAGATACTTGTCCAAGGAACCACTGTACCAAATCTCAATATCAGAGGGTGGTTGGTTTTCTCAACTAAGGAACTGGAAGTCACAGAATGTGTTTTGAGATAGATGCAATTTAGTGTTTTCAAAATTTTGAATATTCACTGGAATGTATCACAGTTCGTTAGTTAGGACTTTTTATACACTTAATAACGTTTGCTTGATCAGACCTGGCCGTCCCCTGAATGATTTTAGCCACTTTCAGTAGTTAATGTCCTTGTATTGTAAAAAATGAGGTTAACCAAGACTTCCTGTAAACACTAACTGCTTAAAATTTGGTTGTTAACCTCGCTTTAGACCATATAACACTGGGATTGGTTTATCAATATGTTATTATATATGTAGTAAAACATTTGCACAGTATAACGATTAAGTTTTTGAGGTTAACATGTAATTGACTGGTCAGATATTCAAAAAATGAGAGGTTAACCTCATTTTTAAGCCATTTACGGGCAAAATCTTCTACTAAAATATGGTCAGTTCAAATCACCTTTGTCACGTGATTATAGTTGTAGGCATTGTGATACCAATAGATACCTCACTTCGATATTGTGGTACATTACAAAAGTAAGAATCGTATGTATATTCCCTACGGTACCAAAATGTGATGGTTAACCTCATTTTTTTCATTTTCCAAGATAAAAGAAAGTCATTCAACACGTCATCTATTTGGAAATGTGTATACCGTAAACTTACGATGAAAATAATAACTCTATCATGTGATCTATTCTCGCTATATCTAAAAGAAGAGGTTAACCTCATTTAATCACGTTTGGATATTAATTTTTCTGATAATTATGAACCTAAAGTTTAGAGTTTACATTTGCTGACCGAAATAACAAAAAATTATGGCGTGTAATAAAATTTTAACCTCAATTTTATTAACCTCAATGTTGTATAGTCAATTTTGTGAAAATCGGTTAACCTCAATTATGAAATAAAGTTAATCAGCTACAAATATGTGAATAGCAGCAATGTTTTTGTCATCCAAAATTAAATCGATTTAGAAAATAATATTTTGGTAGAAATTTTTGACCCCTTACCCCCCCCTCTGGCCTTAAGTAATGGAGCATTGTCGTGGCTGTATTTGTTTGAAATCCCCCGTAATCAGTTTTACAAATAGCTATGGTGTTAAAATTACACTACTCTATTTGCACTAGTTTTTTGTTTATTTATGAGCAAATTTTGCATCCTCAGTCCTCAACAGAGTATGAGCTATTGATATTGTTATAAAGTGCCTCACTTTTCAGTGCCAGTATGGAAGTTTCCCTCTACCAGATTTGTTTTAAGAAAACTCTCAAATGTTTGACATGATCGACCTTGGTAAGTTCAAACAGATGTTTAATCGATAATATGCATTGATTGTTGATTATACATTTTACATCGTAATTTAAAGTAAGTAATATTATAAAATGCACACAACCTGTCTAGATTGATTGCTTCACGAGTAACCAGACTAAGCTGTGTAGAATTCTGCCCGACACAGATGTATATGTGGTTAAAATAGAAGGAAAATGTTTATATATTGATGGGTTAGTTGTATAAAACTGGAAATTCTTGTTAATATTTGGATAAATTAGATAACACTAGAAACTCCAGGTAACCAAATGAACAGCAAATTTCCAAAAACCTGGACAGACATATCAATCAGATCGATCATGTAACAGATAGTCGTTTTAAAACACAAAGAATCCAAGAAACTAGTAATAGTTGGCAACACACATCTGTACTGGAATCCTAAATACCACATAATAGCACTGTTCCACATACATGCCCTGTGTAGCAAGATCCAGGCTGTTAGGGAGGTTTATCAGAAGCAGGGGGAGGGTGTCAGTGTGGTTATTTGTGGTGATATGAACTCTCAGACAACCAGTTTAGTTCATGCTTATCTCACTGATGGAGTGGTCTCGCAGGTATCTGAACAATTCTTATTCTCAGCTACTAAATTTGTATTTTATCTATTGTGTTGTACTGCAATACAAGTTAGGCTGTTTTCTTATAGTTCAAGTGGCTTACTTCATCAGAACAATTTTCAGTTATTTTGATTTCCATACGTTAGAAAGGTACAAAGTTTCACAACACAACATAATATATTCAGGTCGAGAATGGGGACGAATTGCAAAACTTCTTGCATAAAAATGTTTGGAATCCTTTAAAACTTACTCTGGCCCGGGGTGAACCAAACTACACAAACTATACTGCTGACTTTAAAGACGTTATAGATTACATCGTGTGTGACGAAAATTCAACGGTTAGTTGGAGAAGCTATAATCTTTGTTTTGATCATTATGATTACAAATAAATTCTCACTTTACCATCAATATTATCTAGTTCTCGTCTTAAAAAGACAGAAGCTAATGTTTGGATTTTATATCAAAAATATTTTCACAACTACAATTAAATATATTTATATTAACGTTACAGAAGGAATATATTTATATTAGTCCGAGGAGTCATCACTCTCCTCGTGTCCTAAGATGGCGTTAATCTTGTCGCATATCTTAGAGATCGTGATTTTCGATTTGTGTGATTTATACTTTAAAAACACCTTTTTCTAATTTTTCAGGTTGGTCACGTGACTCTATCTCCAAATCTGTCTGATCTGGAGAAAAGTGAGGGATGTCCTAGTCCTATATTTCCCTCTGATCATCTTCCCATTATATCTGATATTATCCTACTTGGAGATACTGTTTAGATCTTAACAACTTTTAGCACTTTCTGTGAAATATTACTTCCATCGTTGATCGTGTGTGGAGTATTTTTTTGAATTCGTGAATTCGGGGATTAGTTATTATTGATATTATTCAGTACGTATGATATTATATTACAAACAGTTTTGTTTTATAAAGTTAACATTTAAATGTGATTTACATTGTTAATAATTTATGTGCTTTGGTAATATAACGTGGTGTGAATATTAGTAAGTTTTAATTTTCTGTTACTATCAAATAACGGAGTAGTTCGCTGTTTATTAGTCTCATGATTGAAATACTGATATCTGGATATTATCCGGTTGGAAGAGACAAGGACAAGTGAAACAAGGAAGTTAGGAGTAAGGGCAACTTTTCGGCGTCAACGCCATCTTCAGGCTCAAATTATTTGTTATATAGTAGTGTTGAAAGTATTAATACTTTCAACACTACTATATAACAAATAATTTGAGCCTGAAGATGGCATTGACGCCGAAAATTTGCCCTTACTCCTAACTTCCTTGTTTCACTTTTCCTTGTCTCTTCCAACCGGATAATATCCAGATATCAGTATTTCTGTTACTATATTTAACTATTATTTTAGCTTGGTCGGTCCTTTCGAATATAATTAACTTTTGAGCTAGAGTCATCTTTTCTAAAATTAGAGACCGTAGTTAATGAAATAAGGTTCAAGATTATAAATTTTGAGATACTGTCCGGCATAGGTGCAGATTTCGTTTTGAGGTGAACTTTTATGTTCCCGAGAAACCTCTTAAGTTTGCTTATTTTTCTCCTCGGGCACATTCGTAGCCTAGGGGCCAGGTAAACCTAAACTACATATTGACCGTTATGTACGTCGGTATCTGTTGAGGAGCCAAATCATCTGAAAAGCCCTAAACCTATATTTTGCTCAGGCATGTAGCCAGGATTTTTCTTTGGGGGGGGGGGGGGGGGGGGCTGTCGGCGAGCAAAGGGGCGGACCCCAATGGCGGGGGCTAGGTGGGCGCAGCCCCCGGAAAAATTTTGCGAAATAGGGTCTTTTAGGCTAAATTGAAAGTTGAATGAATTTACAAAAATGTATGGTTTGGCATAATCATTGCCTACAATCCTGACCTGAGTAATTTCCCCCTTTGAGACTTTATTTTGGGTCGAAAATTGAGTTTATCGAGAGGAAGTGAAAAATCTCTGGTTCAAATTTGGATTTGAAGCCATGTTAACATTTTTCTGTGGAGGTCACTTTTTTGCGCAGAAAGCGCTCGATTTTAGGGGAAAAAATTTATGTTTGCTTTTAATTTTTATGGTCCTGTCGGCACCTGAAATCGACGAAATCTGCAGGGGTGCTGTCCGGCCGGTTTAATTGGGCAAATATTTGTGATTTTTATTGGATAAGGCAAGAAACTAAAAACTCATCTCTTTGAAAACGTATTTGTATAAGTATCATGTATTACCTTTCTCATAAAATCCATACTTCATAAAAATAAGTTCTTATGTACATGTTACTCATGAGTCGCTTTAGATGGTTTGAACTGAATCTTTGGGTTTTGAGTTCGTTATGGCTATAAAGCGATGTATAAATTCCTACTTATTATTATTATTAAGTTATTAATAATAACACATTCCTTCATGATCGAATTTTAAATAAATGTACTTTATATATCTCTTATATTCCAATACCTCAGAATGTCTAAAGACTGTAAACAAGAGATCAAATCAGAACAAGTGGAGATCCCAGAAAAGTCAAACGGTTTCCTCTGCCCAATGTGTGGAGCACATTACTTTTCAGAAGACTACTTTGTTGAGCACATCAAAGAACATAAAACAATATCAAATTGTACAATAAAACAAGAACTTACATCTGAATCAGATAAACCATCTATTTTTATCTGTCCAGTTTGTGCTGAACATGTTTACTCAGACACTCAGTTAATAGAACATGTAAAGCAGCACCATGATCATAGCAGCCCAGAAGTACCTGACTACTTTGATACTTCAGATAACTTGACTGGAACAGATCCTCAGAGGACATTAGTTCTGTCACCTAGTGAGAGCCCGCCTGTGAGACCATTTGGGTGTTCACAGTGTACATTCAGTGCAGCATATTGGAGAATACTTAAAGAACATCAAAAGATTCACTCAGTCGAGAAACCCTTCAAGTGTTCAGAGTGTTCATTTGCTGCAAATCATGCAAGTCATCTTACTGAACATATGAGAACTCACTCAGGTGATAAACCCTTCAAATGTTCAGAGTGTTCATATGCTACAAAACAAGCAAGTCATCTTACTGTTCATATGAGAACTCACTCAGGTGAGAAACCCTTCAAATGTTCTAAGTGTTCATATGCTGCAAAATATGCAAGTCATCTTACTAGACATATGAGAACTCACTCAGGTGAGAAACCCTTCAAGTGTTCTGAGTGTTCATATGCTACAAAACGAGCAGGTGCTCTTACTGAACATATGAGAACTCACTCAGGTGAGAAACCCTTCAAATGTTCTGAGTGTTCATATGCTACAAAACATGCAGGTCATCTAACTAGACATATGAGAACTCACTCAGGTGAGAAACGCTTCAAATGTTCTGAGTGTTCATTTGCTGCAAGACAAGCTATGCATCTTACTAGACACATGAGAACTCACTCTGGGGAGGAATGATTCAAATGTTCACAGAGCTCCTATGCTGCAAGAAAAATGAGTGATCCTACAAGAAATATTCTAGAATCCACTATGGTGAGAAAATAAATTGGCAGTCCTGCAAGATGTTGTTCAGTTCTTGATAAGATGGTGAGATATTATGATTTGGACTTTGGTGCTTTTATTGACATTAAGTAATCTAGTAATGGAGCATCGTCGTGGTTGTATCTGTTTAAAATCCCCCCGTTATCAGTTTTACAAATGGCTATTGTGTCAAAATTACACTACTCTATTTGCACTAGTTTCCTGTTTATTTATGAGCAAATTTTGCATCCTCAGTGCTTAACAGAGTATGAGTAATTTATATTTTTATAAAGTGCCTCACTTTTCAGTGCCAGTATGAAAGTTTCCCTTTTACCAGATTTGTATCAAGAACAAGAATTGCGCCGGTTAGCGGACGCTATATTTCCATCGACCGTAATTAATTCCAATTAACGATGCCATTGTCAATTATTTGAATCGAAAGTTAAACGACCGGACACCGTAGCGCAGCCTGTGCGGTGATATGCATGATGCAGTTAAAAGGACATCTGTCCGACAGCGACTCTTGTCCGGCTCAATATGTTACCAGAAAAAAAAGACATCTGTCCGAAATCCATACCGCTCTCCTGTGTGTAATGTAGGCTGTGATGTGATTGGCAGCTTGTTAGTGTACGGCTAGCATGATCCTGTCCTCAAATAGTCAATCACGTATCGATGGATCAGATCTCAATGGATCAAATCAGCATTATATTAGGACTGTGGGAGCAACGTCACAAGATTACACGTGAGCTTGTGAAATACGAACGTGATCCGAAATTACAAATGTGATCCGAAAGTTGGACAGATGTCGCCAAAACCGACTCCTATCTGACAGCGACTCTTGTCCGAAACCGGTAATTCGACTGTCGGACAGATGCCACCCAATCAAATCTGTGGTAGTTAATACAATGTGAATCATAATAAAATGTATCGTTCATTTCGTCTAAATATAATGAATCAATCTATTCGCAATCATGTTCAACATGATAGTCATAACATCATAATTTATACAACAACATAACGGATTACTAATATCGGGAGCCAAGCACCCACAACAAAATGAGAAGTTTGCATCGCATGAAGTTAACGAAAGCTTAAACGACAACTATCAATGCGAATCAAAATGTATAATAGCGAAAAGAGATATACATGCGCGACGTACACGATTTATTAGCTCGATTCTTGGTATAGAGTACACCTTGACATAAAAGCATTGTGAAATGCGCGCGCGCAACCATCACGTAATAATTTGTAAAGGAGCACGTGTTTGCGGAGGTTAATGCATGTTTTGCTTTGTGACACCACGAAAAACCTATACCCACTATACCCATTCTCAAATCCTACCACTTCTAACCATCTATTGCCTTTTTAGGCGATGGAAAAAATCTTAAATGTTCATGTTGGACTTGAACGACCTTGGTAAGTTCAAACAGATGTTTAATCGATAATATGCAATGATTATTGATTATACATTTGACATTGTAATTTAAAGTAAGTAATATCATAAAATGCACACAACCTGTCGAGATTGATTGCTTCACGAATGTAACCAGACTAAACTGTGTAGAATTCGGCCCGACACATATGTGGTTAAATTGGAAGGAAACTGTTTATATATTGATGGGTTAGTTGTATAAAACTGGAAATTCTTGTTAATATTTGGATAAATTAGATAACACTAGAAACTCCAGGTAACCAAATGAACAGCAAATTTCCAAAAACCTGGACAGACATATCAATCAGATCGATCATGTAACAGATAGTCGTTTTAAAACACAAAGAATCCAAGAAACTAGTAATAGTTGGCAACACACATCTGTACTGGAATCCTAAATACCACATAATAGCACTGTTCCACATACATGCCCTGTGTAGCAAGATCCAGGCTGTTAGGGAGGTTTATCAGAAGCAGGGGGAGGGTGTCAGTGTGGTTATTTGTGGTGATATGAACTCTCAGACAACCAGTTTAGTTCATGCTTATCTCACTGATGGAGTGGTCTCACAGGTATCTGAAGAATTCTTATTCTCAGCTACTATTTTTATTTTATTTATTGTTTTGTGCTGCAGTATAAGTTAAGCTGTCTTGCTTGTTAATCTTCAGGTGGTTTACTTCGTTTGAGATTTCATACTAGCCTATTTTTGACAAAATCATTTTAATGGAATATCCATTAAAACGCGCTGAATCGTTAATTAAATTAACAATTTATGAGTAACTTCGATCTCCATACGTTAGAAAGGTTCAAAGTTTCGCAACACAACATAATATATTCAGGTCGAGAATGGGGGCGAATTGCAAAACTTCTTGCATAAAAATGTTCGGAATCCTTTAAAACTTACTCTGGCCCGGGGTGAACCAAACTATACAAACTATACTGCTGACTTTAAAGACGTTATAGATTATATCGTGTGTGACGAAAATTCAACGGTTAGTTGGAGAAGCTATAATTTCTATTTAGATCATTATGATTACAAATAAATTCACTCCTCACAATCGAGACCATATTATCTAGTTCTCGTCTTCAAAAGACAGAAGCTAATGTTTGGATTTTATATCAAAACTATTTTCACAACTACAATTAAATATATTTATTGAGGACGTTATATAAGGAATATATTAAATTAGTCCGAGGAGTCATCACTTTCCTCGCGGCCTAAGATGGTGTTAATCTTGTCGCATATCGTAGAGATCATGATTTTCGATTAGTGTGATTTATACTTTAAATACCTTTTTCTAATTTTTCAGGTTGGTCACGTGACTCCATCTCCAAACCTCTCTGATCTGGAGAAAAGTGAGGGATGTCCTGGTGCTATATTTCCCTCTGATCATCTTCCCATTATATCTGATATCTTACTTGGAGATACTGTTTAACAATTTTTAGCACTTTCTGTGAAATATTACTTCCATCGTTTACGGGTGTATGTCCCACAGATGAATGGTGGTTTTTCAAACTTCTCTCAAAATTAGAAATAGAACTCATTTTACACAATATTGTTGCAAATTTATCAAAAATAGTCTAAAATTTTCTTCCCGGCAATTAAAATTTTAAAATTTCATAAATTTGTGCTCGAAAAAGTTTCCCAAAAATCACAGTGTACATTCAGTGCAGCATCTTCGAGAACACTTATAGAACATCAAAAGATTCACTCTGAAGAGAAACCTTTAAAATGTTCAGAGTATGTATGTCCCACAGATGAATGGTGGTTTTTCAAACTTCTCTCAAAATTAGAAATAGAACTCATTTTACACAATATTGTTGCAAATTTATCAAAAATAGTCTAAAATTTTCTTCCCGGCAATTAAAATTTTAAAATTTCATAAATTTGTGCTCGAAAAAGTTTCCCAAAAATCATCCTTGTTTTGACTATGCCCCACAGGTGCATGGTTTAAAGATTCTTTAAAAAACTGAAACGGTACTTACTATCCTGTATTTTTCTCTGGAGTATTATTGTCAGATATATATTACATAATAATAGCCAGCTTATATAGATTTTATAGATTTATACAACCATAAAAAATCGGTTTTTTCTCAACCATGCCCCACAGATGACAGGTTGAGAGTAGAAAAGTAGGAATATTTTCCTGAAATGTTACATTTCAATCGTTTCAAAGTGTCCACTACTAATAATCAGTGTATTTTCATGATTATACTAGAACTAAATATGTTATTTGAATAATTTAATAAGTAGTAAATCAAAATATTTTATACCTTGCATCTGTGGGGCATTTTATAGCTTTGTATATTAACATGAATTCTTTCAGGCATCATGTAGACCAACTTATAAATAATAAACCTTATTGATATACTTCTAATTTAAAAACCTTTAATAGTAATTAAGTTATGAATTCGCAAGATAGAGCTTGGAAATGTGGCTGTGGCACAATAATGCCACGCCTGACGTACCTGTGTTGTACAAGGTGTAATGCAGGCAAAGAAAAAGGAGAGTCCCTTCTATGTAAACGAGGAGACTGGAAGTGTCTGCTACAGATGTAACAAGAAGAAAGCAATATAAACTTTACGTTTTTATTTTAATTGTAAAGTTTGTTTTTTATTTTAGATGCAAGGTTTTAAAAAAAGTATGTCCTGTGATTCCAAATTTTGAAAATATTGTTAGATCTTTTCAATTTATTTGAAAAAATATAAGTCCTACACTTCCTGTTATTTGAAATAGTGGCATTTAATTTGATATGGATTTAGATCGCTGTTTTAGTTCAAAAGTCAACATTATGAAATCCTAGTCAGCAATATAAAATAAAAATATCTTAATGAGATTTTGTGAATCGCATGCATGCATAAAGTTATTAATGTAACAGCCAGTTTCACTGGATTATTTAATCAAAAACGTTAATTTTGAAGAATAAAATGTGAAAAAACTCACACGCCCCACAGAAGTCAGGTCATATGCCCCACAGATGAAAGGTTTCTCATTTTTCACTAATTATAATATTTATTTTCCATAATATTGGTCAAATGTTGCTGATACTCTCATAGTATCTCAATTGTACTTTATATATGTTTAGACTATTAAAACAAATCTCACAGACAAACATTAACTCCCAATTAGTGAAAAATGAGAAACCTTTCATCTGTGGGGCATATGACCTGACTCCTGTGGGGCGTGTGAGTTTTTTCACATTTTATTCTTCAAAATTAAAGTTTTTGATTAAATAATCCAGTGAAACTGGCTGTTACATTAATAACTTTATGCATGCATGCGATTTACAAGATTTCTTCAAAATATTTTTACTTTATAGTGCTGACTAGGATTTCATAATCTTGACTTTTGAACTAAAACAGCGATCTAAATCCATATCAAATTAAATGCCACTATTTCAAATAACAGGAAGTGTAGGACTTATATTTTTTTCAAATAAATTGAAAAGATCTAACAACATTTTCAAAATTTGGAATCACAGGACATACTTTTATAAAACCCGTTCATCTGTGGGGCACCTTGCATCTGTGGGGCATACACCCGTATCGTGTGGAGTATTTTGCTGAATTTGTAAATTCGGGGATTAGTTATTATTGATATTATTCAACTGTATGATATCATATTACAAACAGATTTGTTTTATAAAGTTAACATTTAAATGCGATTTACATTGTTAATAATTTATGTACTTTGGTTACGTGGTGTGAATATTAGTAAGTTTTAATTTTATGTTACTATAACTATTATTTTAGCTTGGTCGTTCCTTTCGAATATAATAAACTTTTGAGCTAGAGTCATCGTTTTTAAAATTAGAGACCGTAGTTAATGAAATAAGGTTCAAAATTATAAATTTTGAGATACCGTCCGGGCGGTTTAACTGGGCAAATATTTGTGATTTTCATTGGATAATGCTCGTGGTCAATGCCAAATTCTTTCACGATCGAATTTTAAATAAATGTACTTTATATATCTCTTATATTTCGATACCTCAGAATGTCTAAAGACTGTAAACAAGAGATCAAATCAGAACAAGTGGAGATCCCAGAAAAGTCGAACGGTTTCCTCTGCCCAATGTGTGGAGCACATTACTTTCCAGAAGACTACTTTGTTGAGCACATCAAAGAACATAAAACAATATCAAATTGTACAATAAAACAAGAACTTACATCTGATTCAGATGAACCATCTATTTTTATCTGTCCAGTTTGTGCTGAACATGTTTACTCAGACACTCAGTTAATAGAACATGTAAGGCAGCACCATGATCATAGCAGCCCAGAAGTACCTGACTACTTTGATACTTCAGATAACTTGACTGGAACAGATCCTCAGAGGACATTAGTTCTGTCTCCTAGTGAGAGTCTGCCTGTGAGACCATTTAGGTGTTCACAGTGTACATTCAGTGCAGCATCTTCGAGAACACTTATAGAACATCAAAAGATTCACTCTGAAGAGAAACCTTTAAAATGTTCAGAGTGTTCATATGCTACAAAACGAGCAGGTGATCTTACTGTACATATGAGAATTCACTCAGGTGAGAAACCCTTCAAGTGTTCTGAGTGTTCATATGCTACAAAACATGCAGGTAATCTTACTAAACATATGAGAACTCATTCAGGCAAGAAACCCTTCAAGTGTTCAGAGTGTTCATTTGCTGCAAGACAAGCAGGTAATCTTACTGAACATATGAGAACTCACTCAGGTGAGAAACCCTTCAAATGTTCTGAGTGTTCATTTGCTGCAAGACACGCATGTAATCTTACTGTACATATGAGAACTCACTCAGGTGATAAACCCTTCAAATGTTCTGAGTGTTCATATGCTACAAAACGAGCAGGTGATCTTACGGTACATATGAGAACTCACTCAGGTGAGAAACCCTTCAAGTGTTCTGAGTGTTCATTTGCTGCCAGAAACGCATGTAATCTTAATAGACATATGAAAACTCACTCAGGTGATAAACCCCTTAAACTCTTCAAATGTTTTGAGTGTTCATTTGCTGCAAGACAAGCAATGCTTCTTACTAGACACATGAGAAGTCACTCTGGGGAGAAATGATTCAAATGTTCCAGAGGTCCTATACTGCAAGAAAAATGAGTGATCCTACAAGAAAAATTAGAATCCACTATGGTGAGAAACTATATTGGCAGTCCTGCAAGATGTTGTTCAGTTCTTGATAAGATGGTGAGACATTATGATTTGGACTTTGGTGCCTTTAAGTAATGGAGCATCGTAGTGGTTGTATCTGTTTGAAATCCCCCGTAATCAGTGTTACAAATATCTATTGTGTCAAAATTACACTACTATATTTGCACTAGTTTCCTTTTTATTTATGAGCAAATTTTGCATCCTCAGTCCTCAACAGAGTATGAGTAATTGATATTTTTATAAAGTGCCTCACTTTTCAGTGCCAGTATGAAAGTTTCCCGGTTTACCAGATTTGTATCAAGAAAACTCTCAAATGTTGGACTTGATCGACCTTGGTAAGTTCAAACAGATGTTTAATCAATAATATATGCAATGATTATTGATTATACATTTGACATCGTAATTTAATTTTAAAGTAAGTAATATCATATAATGCTCACAACCTGTCTAGATTGATTGCTTCAGGAGTGTAACCAGACTAATCCGTGTAGAATTCGGCCCGACACAGATGTGGTTACATTAGAAGGAAACTGTTAATATATTGATGGGTTAGTTGTATAAAACTGGAAATTCTTGTTAATATTTGGATAAATTAGATAACACTAGAAACTCCAGGTAACCACAAAGAATCCAAGAAACTAGTAATAGTTGGCAACACACATCTGTACTGGAATCCTGAATACCACATAATAGCACTATTCCACATACACGCCCTGTGTAGCAAGATCCAGACTGTTAGGGAGGTTTATCAGAAGCAGGGGGAGGGTGTCAGTGTGGTTATTTGTGGTGATATGAACTCTCAGACAACCAGTTTAGTTAATGCTTATCTCACTGATGGAGTGGTCTCGCAGGTATCTGAAGAATTCTTATTCTCAGCTATTATTTGTATTTTATTTATTGTTTTGTTCTGCAATACAGGTTAGACTGTTTTGCTTATATGTAATGGGTGTTCAGGTGGCGCACTTCTTCGAAACAATTTTCAGTTACTTCGATTTCCATACGTTAGAAAGGTTCAAATTTTCACAACACAACATAATATATTCAGGTCGAGAATGGGGACGAATTGCAAAACTTCTTGCATAAAAATGTTCGGAATCCTTTAAAACTTACTCTGGCCCGGGGTGAACCAAACTACACAAACTATACTGCTGACTTTAAAGACGTTATAGATTATATCGTGTGTGATGAAAATTCAACGGTTAGTTGGAGAAGCTATAATAATCTCTATTTGATCATAATGATTACAAATAAATTCTCACTTTACTATCTTGTTTTCGTCTTAAAAAGATAGAAGCTAATGTTTGGATTTTATATCAAAACTATTTTCACAACTAGAACTACAATTAAATATATTTATTGAGGACGTTACAACTTACAGAAGCTCAAAAGGAATATATTTAAATTAGTCCGAGGAGTCATCAATTTCATCGCGGCCTAAGATGGCGTTAATCTTGTCGCATATCGTAGAGATCGTGATTTTTGATTTGTGTGATTTTTACTTTCAAATTTACCCTTTTTCTAATTTTCAGGTTGGCCACGTGACTCCATCTCCAAATCTGTCTGATCTGGAGGAAAGTGAGGGATGTCGTAGTGCTATATTCCCCTCTGATCATCTTCCCATTATATCTGATATCTTATATCTATATATTACTTGGAGATACTGATTAAATCTTAACTACTTTTAGCACTTTCTGTGAAATATTACTTCCATCTTTGATCGTGTATGGACTATTTTGTTGAATTTGTAAATTCGGGGATTAGTTATTATTGATATTATTCAGTATGATATCATATTACAAACAGTTTTGTTTTATTAAGTAAACAATTAAATGTGATTTACATTATTAATAATTGATGTGCTTTGGTTACGTGGTGTGAATATTAGTAAGTTTTAATTTTATGTTACTATAACTATTATTTTAGCTTGGTCGTTCCTTTCGAATATAATAAACTATTGAGCTTAAGTCATCGTTTCTAAAATTAGAGACCGTAGTTAATGAAATAAGGTTCAAGATTATAAATTTTGAGATACTGTCCGGCCGGTTTAATTGGGCAAATATTTGTGATTTTTATTGGATAAGGCAAGTTATCAATAACACATTCCTTCACTATCGAATTTTAAATAAATGTACTTTATATATCTCTTATATTCCAGTACCTCAGAATGTCTAAAGAATGTAAACAAGAGATCAAATCAGAACAAGTGGAGATCCCAGAAAAGTCAAACGGTTTCCTCTGCCCAATGTGTGGAGCACATTACTTTTCAGAAGACTACTTTGTTGAGCACATCAAAGAACATAAAACAATATCAAATTGTACAATAAAACAAGAACTTACATCTGAATCAGATAAACCATCTATTTTTATCTGTCCAGTTTGTGCTGAACATGATTACTCAGACACTCATTTAATAGAACATGTAAAGCAGCACCATGATCATAGCAGCCCAGAAATACCTGACTACTTTGATACTTCAGATAACTTGACTGGAACAGATCCTCAGAGGACATTAGTTCTGTCACCTAGTGAGAGCCTGCCTGTGAGACCATTTGGGTGTTCACAGTGTACATTCAGTGCAGCATATTGGAGAATACTTAAAGAACATCAAAAGATTCACTCAGTCGAGAAACCCTTCAAGTGTTCAGAGCGTTCATTTGCTGCAAAACATGCAAGTCATCTTACTGTCCCAGTGACATAAAGTGAGGAATCTAAGAATCTAATTCCTAGCCATATTAATTTCCATAGCCACGCCGACTAATTTTTGTCAACAAAATTATTAAATCAACTTTAAAATAGTCGCTCTCGGTTGTTACACACTGTAACGCCGCGCACTGTACTTTAATTCTATATTTATCCGAGAAGATGTTCGAATCGAGCGCAAATGCCAGATTCCTGTCAGGATCCTAGTTCTTGCGCTTAACTTGCGCGTTACCAAATAATCCAAGATATTTCTGTCAGGATCCAAGATTTTCCTACTACCAGTATGGTAGTATGGACTGTTTGGTAGTATGGTAGTATGGTAGTTGCAGGAACGCGCGAAGACCTATATGTCAATATTACGAAAGCGTGCATGAAATCGTAGCCTAGTCGGTTAATCCGTCGTTACTACATTAGCAGATCGCGAGTTCGAGACCTGGAAAGGAATTCTTTCACAATCTTTTGGCAATTATGAAGGGGGTGATGCAACGTCAATTAATGTCAGTATTCCATAAAAACCCCAAACTGACATTGACATTAATTGACATTAATTGACATTAATTGACATTAATTTGTCTTGAAATTTGAGATTATCATTATTCGATAAATATTCAAGATATTCACGTCTATGTAAGTTAGACCGGTTCAAAAAAACAAAATGTCCTTGAATAATTATGAGTACTAGCAGGAACCCGTCTTACTATAAAGTGGTGTCAAGACTCAAGAGACTAAAATAATTATTACCTATTTCGCGTTTTTGACACCACTTGGGGGTCCAAATTTTGGGCACTAAAATTCTTATTCCTTGGCCAATTTTTTATTTTTTCATACTGATTTGAAGGCCATTAAAGCATTTGACTCAGTCAAAAAAGTTTCAGTTGTATATCTTTTACGGTTTTTGAGGAAAGTCCCGTTAAAGTTGATGCCGTGGTGTCAGTAAAATGGCACGGAACCATATATATCGTCTCGCTTTATGTATAGTAAGATGTTCTTATCTGTTGATTCTTAGGTTCAAAGACCACCAAAAAAAATTTCAGCTTCCAACTCTTCCATCTTCGGTCCCCACCGGCCACGCCCATATTTTATTGGTTTCTTATACAGGTAAAATATCTAGAATCGGCTTTTTTAGTATGAAGGAGTAATGTTAGCTGTTTAAGATTCGTTATTCAAATATAAATGTCATGAAGGCATTTCGTTTAATGTGGGTTTTAAGTTCTGATGATGTTGAGAACCACGCCCTTGGATGGCCACGTCCATTTAAGAAAATTTAATTTCGGAAAACCGTATTATTTTAGTTTTATTATTTAATGATCTGAATTTTTTTCACATTTCACATTTCCATATGTGATAGTAGTGAATAAATTGATGATATAAACGTTCTAAAGTGCTAAAAATATGGTAGAACTACATAATCTCTGGTCGAAAAATATCGTGTCAATTAATGTCAGTATTCCAAAATTTTGCAAAACTGACATTGACATTAATTGACATTAATTGACATTAATTGACATTAATTGACGTTGCATCACCCCCATTATGAATAACTATACTAATGAATTAATAACTATACTAATGAATAACTAAACCTCTGTAATATAACTAGCAAAGTAAAATGAAATCGTTATCCGGCCGCGGAGCGGCCGAAAAATTTATGGTAGTCGTTTTAAAAATATATGGTAGCCGTTTTTTCTTTCCAGACTGGATTCCTAGTCCCTTTTTAAATTTATGTCACTGGGCTTACTGTACATATGAGAATTCACTCAGGTGAGAAACCCTTCAAGTGTTCTGAGTGTTCATATGCTACAAAACGAGCAGGTGCTCTTACTGAACATATGAGAACTCACCCAGGTGAGAAACCCTTCAAGTGTTCTGAGTGTTCATATGCTACAAGTAGAAATAGTGACCTTACTGTACATATGAGAAATCACTCAGGTGATAAACCCTTCAAGTGTTCTGAGTGTTCATATGCTACAAAACATGCAGGTCATCTAACTAGACATATGAGAACTCACTCAGGTGATAAACCCTTTAAGTGTTCTGAGTGTTCATTTGCTGCAAGACAAGCTATGCATCTTACTAGACACATGAGAACTCACTCTGGGGAGAAATGATTCAAATGTTCACAGAGCTCCTATGCTGCAAGAAAAATGAGTGATCCTACAAGAAATATTCTAGAATCCACTATGGTGAGAAAATGAATTGGCAGTCCTGCAAGATGTTGTTCAGTTCTTGATAAGATGGTGAGATATTATGATTTGGACTTTGGTGCTTTTATTGACATTAAGTAATCTAGTAATGGAGCATCAATTCATGGGCACATATTAGGTGCGATGGGTGCGGGATCGCACAATTTACCGTTTTCCGCACACTTCCGCATAATTTATTGTTTTCCGCACATTTCCGCACATTTTGTAATTATCTGCATATTTCCGCATAATCTTGCATTTTCCGCGTAATTTCGCATAATTGTGAAATTTTCGCGTTAAGATTTTCGAGTGTAAAAACCAAAATATGTTAAAAGTCGGGCCCTTTTAGGACCGTGACTCAGGCCCTTTCGGGACCCTGACTCAGGCCCTTTCGGGACCGTGACCCAGGCCCTTTTGGAACTCATACTTAGGCCACGTGACCCAGTTACCACGTGACTCAGGCCCTTTCGGGACCCTGACCCAGGCCCTTTCGGGACCCTGACCCAGGCTCTTTCGGGACCGTGACCCAGGCCCTTTTGGAACTCATGCTTACCACGTGACCCGGTTACCACGTGACCCAGGCCCTTTCTGGACCGTGACCCAGGCCCTTTCGGGACCGTGACCCAGGCCCTTTCGGGACCGTTATCCAGGCCCTTTCGGGACCCTGACCCAGGCCCTTTCGGGACCGTGACCCAGGCCCTTTTGGAACTCATGCTTAGGTCACGTGACCCAGTTACCACGTGACCCAGGCCCTTTCGAGACCGTGACCCAGGCCCTTTCGGGACCCTGACCCAGGCCCTTTCGGGACCCTGACCCAGGCCCTTTCGGGACCGTGACCCAGGCCCTTTTGGAACTCATGCTTAGGCCACGTGACTCAGGCCCTTTCGGGACCGTGACCCAGGCCCTTTCGGGACCGTTACCCAGGCCCTTTCGGGACCGTTACCCAGGCCCTTTCGGGACCGTGATCCATGAGGCCCTTTCGGGACCGTGACTCAGGCCATTATGGAACCCTCGTCGTTACCGTACTTCGATTATAGTGTATCAGTTATCATTCGTAGGTGATAATAGAAGAAGTAGGTGTAAAGGGTAATGAGCTTTATTCGTTGTAGCGTTGGCTTTATAGTGGGCTTAATGGATCTTGGATTAAATGGTTCACAAGTACTGACGATCAATGCCAACTTGAAGCGTGTCACATATTTGCGATCACGCGCATGGGATCTGATCGATTCTATCAAGAGGCGTCTTCAAATAACTGTATCCTGATTCCTGATCTCTACCAGATCAAGTCACTGTTCTCAGATAACTGAATCTCAATATAGGTTCAATCATGGTCTTAGTAAAGAACTACACCCTCAGTAACACATAAACAGACCTATTTTTGATAATAGCGGCGGTTATACGTTTAGAATTTCCAAAGTCCTTGAGAAAATGCAAAAAAAAACCGCACAATTCCCGCACAAATTTCGAAAAAATCGCCGCACATTTGCCGCATAATTGGTAAAAAATTACCGCACCTTACCGCACATTTTACCTTTATAGTCGGGTGCGGTACCGCATAATTTCGATTTTTTTACCGCACCTAATATGTGCCTCTGAGCATCGTGGTTGTATATGTTTAAAATCCCCCCGTTATCAGTTTACAAATGGCTATTGTGTCAAAATTACACTACTCTATTTGCACTAGTTTCCTGTTTATTGATGAGCAAATTTTGCATCCTCAGTGCTCAACAGAGTATGAGTAATTGATATTTTTATAAAGTGCCTCACTTTTCAGTGCCAGTATGAAAGTTTCCCTTTACCAGATATCAAGAAAAATCTTAAATGTTCATGTTGGACTTGAACGACCTTGATAAGTTCAAACAGATGTTTAATCGATAATATGCAATGATTATTGATTATACATTTGACATTGTAATACATTTGACATTGTAATTTAAAGTAAGTAATATCATAAAATAGACCTATTCTATCATACTGCTGTAGTATATGGATTAGAGCAACCCAAACAGACACCAACGCGAGGAAGTTCAAACGAGTTCAGGCATTGGCATTGAGAATGATGTCTGGTGCCATGCCTAGTACTCCCTTCATCGCACTGAACCACCTCACTAACACTCCAGATATCATACTTTTCCTGAGAGGTGAAGCAGCAAAGGGCACAGCCAGGCTTCAAGCTTATGGAAGCCTAACCCTCGAAACTATCGCCCCCAGAAAAGGTACCATCACAACTCACACCACTATCAACAAACAATTCATGGTAGATCTCAACATACCACCCAAAGCAGAGAGAGACCTATCTATACCAACCATGATGCTTGAACGACGCTTCACGGTCACCACTCCTGGAGCTGACAACATTGGATATAGAGGCTCACTCCAAAACACCATCGACAACATCCCCAGTGAAACCATCACCTGCTACACAGACGGGTCACGCACAGACTCAGGTAGCGGGGCTGGTTATATTATCACCACAGACAACAACAACACTACACTAGATGAAAGATCATTCAAGCTTCCCGATTATTGCACCGTTTATCAAACAGAACTCACTGCCATCATCGAAGCTTGTAAATATCTATCAACTTATACAAACACACACATCATCATATGGTCAGACAGTCTCTCCTCTATTCAAGCCATATCCTCACCTTCAACGAGGAGTAGGACTACAAGAGACTGTTACGACACCCTCAATACACTCGGATCCACTAACACCTTAGAGATCAGATGGATAGCTGCACACATTGGATTGTGGGGTAATGAAAAAGCAGACGAGCTGGCCAAAAATGGTACAACCAGTGAATCCACTTTGAATTGCCCAATTCCACAATCTTACATCAAACGCCTGATCAACGACAAAGTCACAAAACTTAATCAAGAATCATGGATTACTGATGGTCCCAGACACACTAAACTGACACTTGGACATAAAAACATCAACATCATCAAAAATCTCAACACTACACTCAGTAACAACAGACAAAATTATAGAACTGCAGTGCACCTCATCACGGGACATTGTGGCCTCAACAAACACCTACACACCATTCGCAAATCAGACACAAGTGCTTGTCCTAAATGCGGCGACGAAGAGGAGACTGTCTCACACTTTCTCGGACAGTGCCCGGCTATTGCCCAAATAAGAGGTCAATATTTCCGGGACTACTACCTCTCTGTCAATGACATATTCGACAACCAACACATCTCCACCATTGTCAACTTTACAAACCACACTAAACGCTTAGTGGTGCCAGAGGAGTTGGACCAGACAGGTGTAACATAGCGACTACTTTAACGCCGTCTTATTTCGCCTCTCTCTTCCACACTCAACCACCACTTAAGCGTTTATCTATGACACACCCCACAACACTTACCATCATCCTTGATTACACATCTTGATTCCACTGGCATCCTCCCACAGGACTGCCATACCCCAGAGGTATGCAAAGCATTCATATGCTATCCTCTCGTGGGCCAACCAGGCCCAGCCTCTCTAAAAAAAAAAAAAAAAAAAAAAAATGCAATGATTATTGATTATACATTTGACATTGTAATTTAAAGTAAGTAATATCATAAAATGCACACAACCTGTCGAGATTGATTGCTTCACGAATGTAACCACAATAAACTGTGTAGAATTCGGCCCGACACAATTGTGGTTAAATTGGAAGGAAACTGTTTATATATTGATGGGTTAGTTGTATAAAACTGGAAATTCTTGTTAATATTTGGATAAATTAGATAACACTAGAAACTCCAGGTTACCAAATGAACAGCAAATTTCCAGAAACCTGGACAGACATATCAATCAGATCGATCATGTAACAGATAGTCGTTTTAAAACACAAAGAATCCAAGAAACTAGTAATAGTTGGCAACACACATCTGTACTGGAATCCTAAATACCACATAATAGCACTGTTCCACATACACGCCCTGTGTAGCAAGATCCAGGCTGTTAGGGAGGTTTATCAGAAGCAGGGTGAGGGTGTCAGTGTGGTTATTTGTGGTGATATGAACTCTCAGACAACCAGTTTAGTTCATGCTTATCTCACTGATGGAGTGGTCTCACAGGTATCTGAAGTATTCTTATTCTCAGTTACTAATTGTATTTTATATATTGTGTTGTACTGCAATACAGGTTAGGCTGTTTTGCTTATAGTTCAAGTGGTTTACTTCATCGGAACATTTTTCACAACACACCATTATAGAGCGTTTCAGACTGTTGCTCCGAAAATCTGGAACCAACTACCTATACCAATTGAAATTAAGACTTGTTCTGATGTTGATCTGTTCAAAACATTATTAAAAACTCACCTGTTTAAGAAAAGTTATGGCTTGAGCGATTAATTGACAATATAACTTTATGTTATTTGCTTTAACTGTTTAGGATGCAACCTTTAATGTCATGATCTTTTTGAACTTATTAGCAATTAGACTGTTAGCTCGCTTCATAAGCATGTCATCTTCGTTCCAAAACTTTTTATGTCCTATAGCTATGCATACACTCCTTGATAGTTATCTTGATCTAGTATCTTTGTTTCACACAATAGAGCATAAGTTTTGTGGTTTATCCACTGGGCTTAGAGTTTGTGTTTAAGCTACCAAATTTTATTATTATATTTATTATATACATATCAATCCAGGTCGAGAATGGGGACGAATTGTAAAACTTCTTGCATAAAAATGTTCGGAATCCTTTAAAACTTACTCAGGCCCGGGGTGAACCAAACTACACAAACTATACTGCTGACTTTAAAGACGTTATTGATTATATCGTGTGTGACGAAAATTTAACGGTAAGTTGTTAAAGCTATAATAATCTCTTTTGATCATAATGATTACAAATAAATTCTCACTTAATACTATCTTGTTCTGATGTTCTCGTCTTAAAAAGATATAAGCTAATATTTGGATTTTACATCAGAACTATTTTCACAACTATAATCAAATAAATTTATTGAGGACGTTAAAGAAGGAATATATTTAAATTAGTCCAAGGAGTCATCACTCTCCTCGCGGCCTAAGATGGCGTTAATCTTGTCGCATATCGTAGAGATCGTGATTTTATACTTTAAATACCTTTTTCTAATTTGTCAGGCTGGTCACGTGATTGCATCTCCAAATCTGTCTGATCTGGAGAAAAGTGAGGGATGTCCTAGTGCTATATTCCCCTCTGATCATCTTCCCATTATATCTGATATCTTACTTGGAGGTACTGTTTAGATCTTAACAACTTGAATTGTAGTCCTTTCTGCGAAATTTCATTTCGATCATGTGCAGTATTTTGTTGAATTTGTAAATTCGGGGATAAGTTATTATTGATATTATTGTATTGAGTATGATATCATATATTACAAACAGTTTTTTTTTAAAGTTAACGTTTAAATGTGATAATTTACATTGTTAATAATTTATGTGCTTTGATCATGTGGTGTGAATATTAGTAAGTTTTAATTTTATGTTACTATAACTATTATTTTAGCTTGGTTGTTTCTTTCGAATATAATAAACGTTTGAGCTTGAGTCATCGTTTCTAAAATTAGAGACTTTAGTTAATGAAATAAGATTATAAATTTTGGGATTCTGTCCCGGTGGTTGAACTGGGCAAATATTTTTAATTTTCATTGGATAAGGCACGTTATTAATGCCAAATTCCTTCACGATCGAATTTTAAATAAATGTACTTTATATACCTCTTATATTTCAATACCTCAGAATGTCTAAAGACTGTAAACAAGAGATCAAATCAGAACAAGTGGAGATCCCAGAAAAGTCAAACGGTTTCCTCTGCCCAATGTGTGGAGCACATTACTTTTCAGAAGACTACTTTGTTGAGCACATCAAAGAACATAAAACAATATCAAATTGTACAATAAAACAAGAACTTACATCTGAATCAGATAAACCATCTATTTTTATATGCAAGGTTTGTGCTGAACATGTTTACTCAGACACTCAGTTAATAGAACATGTAAAGCAGCACCATGATCATAGCAGCCCAGAAGTACCTGACTACTTTGATACTTCAGATAACTTGACTGGAACAGATCTTCAGAGGACATTAGTTCTGTCTCCTAGTGAGAGCCCGCCTGTGCGACCATTTGGGTGTTCACAGTGTACATTCAGTGCGGCATATTGGAGAATACTTAAAGAACATCAAAAGATTCACTCAGGTGAGAAACTCTTCAAGTGTTCAGAGTGTTCATTTGCTGCAAAACAAGCATGTAATCTTACGGTACATATGAGAACTCACTCAGGTGAGAAACCCTTCATGTGTTCTGAGTGTTCATATGCTGCAAGACAACCAGGTCATCTTACTGTACATATGAGAACTCACTCAGGTGAGAAACCCTTCAAGTGTTCAGAGTGTTCATTTGCTGCAAAACAAGCATGTAATCTTACGGTACATATGAGAACTCACTCAGGTGAGAAACCCTTCATGTGTTCTGAGTGTTCATATGCTGCAAGACAACCAGGTCATCTTACTGTACATATGAGAACTCACTCAGGTGAGAAACCCTTCAAGTGTTCAGAGTGTTCATTTGCTGCAAAACAAGCATGTAATCTTACGGTACATATGAGAACTCACTCAGGTGAGAAACCCTTCATGTGTTCTGAGTGTTCATATGCTGCAAGACAACCAGGTCATCTTACTGTACATATGAGAACTCACTCAGGTGAAAAACCCTTCAAGTGTTCAGAGTGTTCATTTGCTACAAAACAAGCATGTAATCTTACGGTACATATGAGAACCCACTCAGGTGAGAAACCCTTCAAGTGTTCTGAGTGTTCATATGCTGCAAGACAACCAGGTCATCTTACTGTACATATGAGAACTCACTCAGGTGAAAAACCCTTCAAGTGCTCTGAGTGTTCATTTGCTACAAAACAAGCAGGTGATCTTATTAGACATATGATAACTCACTCAGGTGAGAAACCCTTCAAATTTTCTGAGTGTTTATATATGCTGCAAGACAAGCAATGCATCTTACTAGACACAAGAGAACTCACACTGAGGAGAAATGATTCAAATGTTCACAGAGCTCTAATGCTGCAAGAAAAATGAGTGATCCTACAAGAAATATTAGAATCCACTACGGTGAGAAACTAAATTGGCAGTGGACCACTACTGCAAGATGTTGTTCAGTTCTTGATAAGATGTTAAGATGGTGAGACATTATGATTTGGTACCTTTATTGACATTAAGTATTGGAGCATCGTCGTGGTTGTATCTGTTTGAAATCCCCCCGTAATCAGTTTCGCAAATAGCTATTGTGTCAAAATTACACTACTAGAGCGTAATAATTTGAAAGTTACTAGATATGATGTATCTTACTCGCCATGTTCACTATAAAGTAACCGATTTTGATTTACCTTACTCGCCATGTTTACCAAAAGTTTCCTGTATCAATGTATCTTTCTCACTGCACCATTTTCATTTAAAGTTACCATTTTCAATGTACCTATCTCACCATGTTCAGTGTTCACTATTTTTTATGAAAAATGGCACGATTGATAGTTTTGGTTAATCGAGTTTCCGAATTGTAAAACCTACACTTACTTTAAAGTTAATGAAGTAAGTGTAGGTTACTACACTTGTTTAATTATTTCTTTATGTCCTCAAAATCTGAGTTAATAAGCAACAAATGGAGTGATACTGATAACTCCAGGTTAAAACGAAAACTAGAACGCAATTAATATAATAGTCATCAAAAAAATGGTTAAAAATGGCGAAAAATGGCAAAATGTTACAATTTGAAACCTGATTCACCATAAAAATCAATCACCAATTTTCACCATTTTACACCATTTTTCACCATTTTTCACCATTGGATACTTCCATCCGGGCAGTATCCAAGAAACCAAAGTCATTTTTAAATAATCTCTTGAATGTCCACAATATAATGGCACAACAGTAAATAAAACGTCTAACCTTGTTCCTATAGGAAGGATGACCTCCCCTGACGTGGAGTCAGCGCCACCTGCCATCAGGTCCCAGTGTACCCGGGCTGGTGTTATTGCTAAGTACTACCGCCGCAACTCCGGGGATGTGGAGTCTTCTCCCCTGTATAGTGCCTGGTTCAGGGAGGAGATCATTGCTGATCAGAGGTGAGGGGAATTAGGAACAACTGTGATCCTGAATCCTGATATTGTCGAATTAGGTCCATTAATTGCTAACTTTTAGATTCAGATAACTAATATCCTCGTTTTTCTTCAACTAAAAAGTTCTAATTTCTAGGTTCGAGAGGAGGAGGAAGCTACTGTCATTGAACAGAGCTAGGGATTGTTACAATGAAATGGAGGTTGAATATTCTGATAAGTACTGGTCTAATGCTAGACGCAACTCTCGACCATCTCTTCGTGGCAAGAGACAGGTAAACACTTTCAAATATCTCAAATAATTTAATTTTAACAGTTTTTAGGGTTAGACCGTGCATTGTGCTTGATCGACCTTTGGAATTCAATAGGATTAATGTATTATATCAAATGAATATGTTAATAGTATAATTTTAATTCGTTTTCTTAATGTTAATGGAATACGCATTATTATTATGTAATAATTTAATTCTATAATCACTTTCGATGCAGCATGATAGATCGCTCTATAAATAAAGTAAACAACAACATAACTTCAGGCGGACTGTAAGATCTGCCACACGGAGCTCACAGACTGGTCCCTCGTGACCTCGCCCTCACACGTGACTCCCCCCTCCCTCGTGACTCCCCTCACCTGCTTCCATCTCTTCCACACCTCCTGCTACCAGTACTGGCACACCAAGTCCAAGTCACCAGAAGATGGGAGCTGTTGTCCTGTTTGTGTCAAGATTAACACAAGTTTCAGTGAAGCCCCTACTCCTGATGACAAAGAAGATGACACGGTGGTTATATCCCCTGTGGTCCTCCAGCCGATACCTCTCGTCCTCAGAGACTCTCTGTTGTTGGTTACAAGTGAGACACTCCAAGAGGTCCTGACTGAAACGGAGGGTGCCACTATTGAAGTTACGGGTGTTACACAAATTAAAGAGAAGGAGGAAAAGGAGGTTGTTGTCCTGGAGATCTGAACGGATTGTCAGTTAGTGCAGAAATGGATTTTGTTGCGGACATGTAAGCTGGATTTTGGGGCTCACGTTTTTGCTTGACTTATAAGTTGGAGCTTCCTTATATTATTTACTTTATACTCAATGACTAACATCACTGTAATTTGAACTAACTATTAAGTTTATAATTTCTCGATATTTCTTACCCGACAATGTTCAGTGGGTTGCCAATTGCAATATCTTTTTTAATAGGTCCTAAGTTAAGTCGGCTTTATCATCATATTACGGACATTTTGAGTGACAATATGTAAGCTGTGTAGAGTGTTTGGGACACGGAATACTTGTTTGAATCAGACAGTTAGTGTTAGTTTGTAGTGAACCATCGCTGCTATGTCACTTTGGGAATGTTGTCGGATAAGAAAATAATTATTTGATTTTAGATGAACTAATAAAATTGGTCTCATAATTGATAAATGATACTTGACAGTTTCAAATTGTTTCTCGTTCGATTTGCGGTTTTTACTAAGACTAATATTAGAGTGTTCAGTGTATAAAAGATAAAATAACCTTCGCCTTTGTACATTGTCTGATGCTGTTAAAAACAAGGTTAAATTGAAAGGGGTTGACATTATACTCGTCAGTAAATATTATGTTAATAATAATTATCATTTTATAGATTTATAGCTGCTATGGTTTATTCTAAAACTATGAAATAAGATGCTAAGCCTAAGTATGTCTCACAGTTTTTATTATGCTCAATTTTTTGGAGTTTTTATGATCTATGTTTATCGTGTATTTGCCATATTTATTAAAACTTATTTACTTAATTTTTGATCTTTCAATCAAATTCTATAAGATGGTGCAGGTCTAGTACTGTTTAACCATAACTTTTCATTAAATTTGATAGCTTTTAATTGACATCGCAAATTCCTCTAATAGTGCTGGGGATCATATTTTGGTGGGTGTATTACTCAGAGAAAATGTTATAATGTTTGCTTTATCATTCTAACCATATTTAATGCTGTATTGCTATACGGGTTTGACTTTTCAAAAATACAGACACAGTAGTTATAATGTTTTAAATTATAATCAAACAAAATAATGAACAAAAACATTTATCAAATGATGTAGAGCATGCCCAAATAAATATTTGCTCATTGTAGCGAATTCTTGTTTAATCTGAATCTGAATAGTTTTCCGAAATTCACATCATCCAAGTTTGAAGTTCATGACGTACATATTATTATATTATTATGGAGTTGAGTGTTCAGTGTTCAGATAGCTAATTCGGTATCATAGTATAGACATGATTGATGATATCATACCAAGCCTTCTCCTTCAGTTGATACTTCTTCTTTACCACCTCTATCACAGCCAGACAATCATGGTAGTCCATCCCCTCCGGTTCAAATGGGTTGGGATCTATGTAAGTTTGTCTTGCCACTTCGTCAAGTATCTTGAGAGTAGCACCCACTGGTGTTTCTTTCATCATATCATCAGCTTCCTCTTCAACTTTCTTCTTCTTCTCCACTTTTGTGAGTGGTCTTATTGGAAATATGTGCACCAGCTCTGGTTTACAGCAGGCTCTTTGGGAGATGTTAGATTTCACTTCATTTACCAACTTTTGCGTACTTTCATCCGATTCGTCAGCTATTTCAATGAGGAAGATGATTGAGTTGAATACTTCCAGAGTAAAGACTGACACTAAAAGATCTATCATACAGTCGCTCACTTTGTTTAGTTTCCCACTAAAATCCAAGATGAGCAAGAAAGTATTCATTCCAAAACCTGACTTGTATCTCTTCTTGAATCTAAGGTAATTGGCCATCACCTGGATCTGCTGTTGAGCCACGCTAGCTGCAATCTTTTCGCTCTTATCAATATTTCCAGCAATGTGGAACCTCAATCCCAGACCATACACTTTGAGGACGTTTATCAGTGTGTACCGTATTTTGTCTTCTTTGACTGAGAGCATGTCTTTGATCATCTTAGTTTCCTCTGTGTTGTCCAGATTGATAATAAGATTTGCCTCTGCCCTACCTCTGGCGTAAACGTTTCCAAAATGATCCTCGATCTCCTTACCAAGCGGGTCCAGAAAACATTTGAACATCATGTTTCCCAACATGGTGTTCTTTGCCTGATCGTTGCCCAAGATAACAATATCAAACCGGGTCTGAAAGAACATCTTCAGTTTGGTAATTATCCTATGCTGCAGTGACATTGGTTTGTTCATGTAAGTATTCCAATCCAGATCCTCCTCTGACTGCTTCATGTTCCCTCCCGCCCCAAAGTAGTTGGGCACATAATACTTTCTAAAGGCCAAGGTGTGGTCTCCAGATTGTGACGTGGTTCCTGCCACTGAATTGGTTGTCTTGTTAGGACGGATCTTTTCTCTTGATTTGTCACCTGTAGAGGTAGCTGCTACGGAGCCTTTCTTTAACGTGGCCATACTCACTCCTTGAGTAGACTGTCGACGACGTGAAGCTATAACTGTGAAGTCTAACAGAGATCTAACAACAACGCTTCCGAGAAACTTGCTTCAGTGAATGACCATATTACTGTTCGGAAGTTCACCTGGTAATAGCTCACTTTTGTCACTTTGTGATGGCTCCTCAATTAGACTTTTGGTGAGAGCTCATCAATTTGGCTTTTGTTGATAGCTTTAGCCCATCAATTTGTCTCCGTAGATCTGTATTTTGCTGTTCTATATTATATAACACAAGGTCACACACGTCCCCTCAAAGTTCTAATGGTACCAATTTAATTGAAATGGAGTAGTTCTTAAGGAGTTGGGTTTTATAAAATCCCTTAATCTGTCGTGATATTATCATCAAAACGTCCACAATAATATCAAATGTAAACTATACATCATGACCACGTCTTGCTAATTATATTCACCAAATTTGCTTTTAACAGAACATAACTTAATTTCTCCCCGTACTAGGTTCGCCATGCTTGGATCAGAAGTGACACTAGTTTCCCTGTCTCTCCACGAACTAACGGACAATGAATACTCTGATAACATAAAACGTGGTGCTTACTGGGAACTAATGAAGCAAATCTGCAAGGTAGAAGATGATCAGGCTTGTTATGCCAACATTTTGGATTCTTTTACAAATCTGAAGTCGGACCATGAGAAATTAGTGTTGGTGGTTTCAGCCCTGAATGTTTTTATACAGAATAACTTTACTGGACCTCTGCTTTCTGCAGATATTCTTAAGTCAATTGAAGATGAGGATTCTGCTGCTACTAAACGTTTGAGTACCATTAATAATGCAATGTATCCTTTAGTCAAGTGCACTAAGCTTTTTGAACTGTGTCGTGACTATTTTTCATCCCAAGATTATTCAGTGTTGACCAATCAACTGTTTAAATTGCGATGCATATTCATCGAGCAAATGTTGATGGATGATTTATCTCCAGATCTCTTTGATAACATCGAAAAACTTATTAGCATTATAGAGGATCATAGCGAATTTGCCGCATTATCAAAAGAGGTTCGATGCAAGATTTTGGTTGAGTTTGGATTTGTATATCTAAACTTTCAACACATTTCGAAATCACGGAGGTACATGGAGATGGCTAAAAAGCTGATTAGTTTCAGCTTTAATCTCACTGGTGCCTTAGGAAAAAGAACGAAATATCAGGAGACACCTTTAGCGCAACTTAGAGTTGAGACCATCATTGAGGAAAACGTTGTCGATGTGACTCCTTTAGAGAATGAACCCCAGATCATTGATTTAAATGACGACACTTTGCTGGACAAAATCTCATTCGAGGACGAAAATATTAAGAACTCAGTCTCAAACCTGACTGCTCCATTTTTGTTGCACATGGCCTCACTCAAGTTGAAGGACTTTGCCATGGAAGACATGTTACGTGAGGAAGTGATAGCCTTTCTTGAGGGAATTATAGAAGGAAGGACATTTTCATATTGCATTGCCACACATGCCTACTTTCTGAGGAGCAAACTTGAAAAAACATCCATTAGAAGGCTCAGCCGTTGCATGGAACAGTTGGAAGAAGTGGTTCTTGGGTTCGACTGTAAAAAGGTTTGCTCGAGAACAGGGAGTCTATTCCAATCCGGACTTCCTCCAATGTGGAAACAACAAAAAGTACTTGCAGAGATGTATTCAGGTATTGGGTCCCACAAGAGTGCTTTAGATCTCTATGAGAAGTTGCAATTGAGAGAGGAGCAGATAAACTCTCTCATTGGTTCTGGAAGATATGAGGCTGCTGAGAAGCTGACTAGATCACTAATTGCTCAAGGTGAAACCCCCAAATTGTATTGCATCCTAGGGGACACAACTCAGGACATCACTCATTACGAGAGAGCCTGGGAACTGTCAGGCGAGTCGTCAGCTAGAGCCATGAAGTCCCTGGGATATCACTATTTTAACATCAAGGAGTACCGGAGGGCTTTAGTCTGCATGCAGAATTCTCTGGAATGCAACTATTTGCAGGGAGGTTTGTGGTTCACAGCTGGATGCACAGCTCTTGCCATACCAGAATTTGAGACTGCCATCAAGTGTTTCCAGACCTCTCTACATATAGATGACGAGTATTCTGAAGCATGGAGCAACCTGGGAGCTTGCTTTCAGAAAACAGGACAGTTGCGTAAAGCTTTCAGCTGTTTCAAAGAGGCTACACGGCGATCTTTTAACAACTGGAGAGTTTGGGAGAATTTCCTGACTGCTGCCGCTCAGATAAAAGATTTTGCAAGCATGATATTTGCTTATCGGCAAATCATAACAACCGGACAGAAGTACTGTGATAAAATAATACTGAATAGTCTCGTGTCTGCAGTTAGAGATAATATGACGTCAGTATCTGGGGAAGAAGGAATCAGGTACTACGACAAGATTATAGATCTCTTCAAATTTGCTAGCTCAAAAGTCACAACAAGCTTTGATCTGTGGAGGTCTTATGCTGCCATGTACCTTGATGTTCATGGTAGAGAGGATGTTGGTATGGGTATCGGTTACCTTATCAAAGCATATCATTCAGCTTCTTTGCACATTGAGAAGTCAATGGAAGACTTCTTGAAGTGCACCGAGTGTTCCAAAGTTCTTCATAAGTACGTCATGGCAGAAGCAAAAGATTCTCCTACCTACACTCAACATCTTCAGTCCTTGAAATCCATCCTTCAAATATTGATAACAAAAGGTCACAAACTATCCGAATCTATGCCTAATGAAGAGGCTGAGGAAAGGAAGTTGATTTTGGAGTATTTGAAAAACGCTTATCAGCAATTAGAAGAAGTCGAGGAAGCACAGTTATTTGTGTGAAATTCTTTGTATTTCTTGAATTTCTTTTAACATTAGGGTAATTTTTAGTTGTTTTCAGCGTTTTAGGTCGGTAGTTAATTTATTAAACTTTATCAAACTATCCTTTCTGGGATATATCAGTTTTATGGTGACGACAAGTTTTTATTATTTCGGTCTGTGGCTGTCTTATTCTACAAAATGATCATGTCAGTTGTTGTTGTAATGAATGAAGATAATGAGTGCAAGTGTATGATTTGAAATGTCATTCCTATATACGTCTGTCATACATAATTGTGTTAAAACATACCATTGGTATACCAATAATTCCAAGATCTACATTTTTCAACTTTCCTCACTCTCTCTCTCTCTCTTTCTATGTGTTTCAACTAAAATATCTGAGTTCAGGGGTGTAGGAAGCGGGGGGCAGGGGGGGCCATCGCCCCCCCCCCCCCCCCCCCCCCATGAAATCTGGCCAAGGGGCCAAAAAGGGCCAACTTTTTAATTTAAGTTTCAAAAAATTTTTCCCCCGAAAATTTTTTAAGTCGAAAATTTTCTCAGTCAAAAATTTTCAAAGTTTTCTTGGAAACTACTTTTGTTCATGTTTCATGCTACCCTGATCATTATGAGCCAAAAATATTTTTGTTGTTTTCGAAGTTCGATATACGATTTTGGACTCGAGGGTTCCCCTTTGTAATACGAGCTCGGAAGCGGGAGCTCTGCTTTCAGAGGTACGTATCGAGAATGACTCGGACCGAAATTTTCTAAGTCAGAAATTTTCAAAGTTTTCTTGGAAACTACTTTTGTTCATGTTTCATGCTACCCTGATCATTATGAGCCAAAAATATTTTTTTCGGTTTTCGAAGTTCGATATACGAATTTGGACTCGAGGGTGCCCCTTTGTAATGCGATCTCGGAAGGCAGGCCTCTCCTTCGCAATACGAGCTCGGAAGCCGGAGCTCTGCTTTCAGAGGTACGTATCGAGAATGACTCGGACCGAAATTTTCTAAGTCAAAATTTTTCAAATAAAAGTTTTTCTGGAAATTACTTTTTTTCATGTTTCATGCTACCATGATCATTCTGAGCCGAAAATATTTTTTTCGGTTTTCGAAGTCCGCACCTACCCTTCGATATACGATTTTGGACTCGGGGTGCCCCTTTGTAATGCGATCTCGGAAGGCAGGCCTACCCTTCGCAATACGAGCTCGGACGCGGGAGCTCTGCTTTCAGAGGTACGTATCGAGAGACGAGAATGACTCGGACCGAAAATTTTCTAAGTCAAAATTTTTCAAAGTTTTTCTGGAAATTACTTTTGTTCATGTTTCATGCTACCCTGATCATTCTGAGCCGAAAATATATTTTTCGGTTTTTTGAAGTCCCGTACCTACAATCGGAAGGTTGTGGATGTGATACTGATTGGTTTCATGTACTATTTACTAATTATAGAAAACGTAATATTTGGCCCACAGATTTGAAGGAAAATACGCGAATTTGGTCCTCAGATTTAAAGGAAAATGCGCAATTTGACGCGGGAACTGAAAAAATCGCGATTTGTTGTGAGGCCAGGATTTTAAAAATCGCGATTTGTCGCGGCAAATGTGAAAAATCGCGATACCGCACATGCTGCAATTTCCTTTTGTCCTTACCCTCGAAATTCAGGCTTTGGCGCGAAGCGCCAAAAAATATTTAGAATTTGGCCCCCCCATGAAGAAAATCATTCCTACACCCCTGTCTGAGTTCGTTTGTAATTGATATCGACTATTCCCTCAAGTTTTATGGATCCAGCCCAGATCGAATTTATATCAGAAAAGGAAAGCATCTCGATATTACCAAACTTTACCGAGGACAAACTCTATCTAATCAGCGTGAGTTGTATTAATGATAATATAATATCTAATTATATAATATGATAATATAGCTTAAATACTGATGAGTTATTTAATATCTACCCTCCCAAATCTATTTGACCTTATATGTTGAGCAAGTAGGCTCGTCTCTCGAGAACCTAAAAGACTGAATATCTAAAAATAGAATATTACTCACATCACTCAGCTGCTTATTTGTATATTTCTGTAAATATTTATATGATTTATAAATCTATTTATAGCACAATGTTAACCCAGGGAGAAGTCGGCCCGTTTCAGCCCCAAGTACCGGTAAGAGTGCCACTGTGGTTAGCTGCTAATCTGAAGCAGAGACAGAAATGCAGGATTATAACTCCTGAGTGGATGGATGTAGGTGAGACTATGATAATCACTACTTTTATCCAATAAAACCTTGGTTTATTTCAGTTTAAGTAATTTAATAAATAATGGCTACATAGTTCAATTATAATGGTGATCAGCACAATTAATGAGACTGACTGTGATCTGTAATTATCTTCAGAGCTACTGAAAGAAAAGAAAGCAGAGGAACTTGAAGGACACTTATTTTCAATACCATTACACCCTCACTTTCTGGAACTCAGCACTATTATTCTCGGGTGAGCTGCAAGACTAGTAGCAAGACTAGTTACAAAACTAGTTACAAGACTAGTACCAAGACTAGTACCAAGACTAGTTACAAGACTAGTTACAACTATCTAGATACGTGTTATTTAATATGATTGTCACATCCTTGATCTCGTATTTTTTAGGTGTGATTTAACTTAATTCACTAGCGCATAGTTTCCCATGAAGAGGTGTGGTGAATTGAAATACGTCCGTTTATTCAGCTGTAATTTATAGAACGTTTCACTGAAACAGTAAAAATAGAAACGGCGTTTCAATGTTTACTGTTTAGTTATAGTGAACATCTGCACAAGACTAAAACTCTTCCCCCCTCCGCAGAATATCGGATGAGGTGAAAGATGCTGACGAAGTACGGACTCTAATAAAAGATATCTGGGATGTTAGGGCAGCCAAGTTGCGGAAGAGTGTAAACAAGATGATAAACCACGACGGAGGGGGCGGGAAACCGCTCACACATGTTGAGGTATAGGTTTACCTGTTATTATTATTAGACCAGCATTTGGAACGTTGAAATAACAATGGTGTAGACACAGCGCACGATATTATAGACAATTAAATATCATTGATTTTACAATATTATACTTACGTATATAATGACTTAATTTGCCGAAGGTAAAATGTATTTCAGAGCACTATTTTCAAATATTTACAATTAGGACCATCGCCAGTAATCTTTTGATCTTTTAATCTCGCCAGTAATCTCGCCAGTAATCGCGTACCCCTCCGCAGATAAACAACATAACAGTTCTGGAACTGAACACGATACGGGGTTTCTTCACCGCCTCCCTAGACCACCTACACAACCTTAGAAACCACGCAGAGTTGTGTCTCAACGATCCTAGATACAATTAGTCAATTAACTAATTGGTTGAATAACAACTTCAGATTTATAAGTGTATAAAGCGCTCGATTAGGAATCGCTCGATAATTCCACAATTTAGCTCGTAACACACTTAATGACCACGCAATTCAAATTATCTAGAGTATAGAGAACTCGTTAACCCTCACTAGAACACACTGCTCCTCAGTCCTCATGAGAACAATCTGAAGTGCTAGCTGTATAATAATACCCATAATAGCTAACAGCTTTTAATATGTAACCGTCACTCGTTAACCATGCCATTTGCCAAGTAAAGAACATTAGACATTCTTCCATATCCCAATTATACACGGTGTATATTTGTGAGAACCCCTTGTTTTTAGAATGGCCCATGATATTACTATTACTATTACTATGATAATTGATATGAACTTGGTGTTTTAGAAGAATGAATAAAGCGGGGAGAAGGTGTTATTTTAAGTGATCTCAGAGGCTAATTTAAATTGGAAACACTCTAGTGGTACAATGGCAGAGATTCTTTTAATTGAACGCTTTTCAGTTCTAACTTAATTGTCAATACCCTGGTCCCTGAAGGTTTTTTTTTTCTGCCATTTCAAGATAATATCTCCAGCAGTAAGGAGTGGTTTGGTGTGGATTTTACTGTCTTACTGTAAAAATAGAAGCAGTGAACATTTTTTTAAATTTTAAGGCCGTGATTATGCCGAGCTCGACTATCCACTGTGGGAAAGATTATGCTGTTTAAGGTTAATTTTTATGAACAGATAAATGATTCACGACGCAGTGGAAGCTCACGCTTTAAATTTTGCATGGTTGAATCGGGGCAATTTTAACCTAGTTGATATTTTACGTTCTTTAAAAGTTTGAAGATTCTGCTAGCAGAATTATATTGTACTGAATTTTTAATATTTATGTTAATTTATACAATATTTAATTTCAAAATTTGTGTTTTTGATACTTTTCGAGTCGACGAAATGCTAGGATTTTGTTATGTTATCTATAGACCATACCGTTACCAAATAGACACTTCCACTCTTTCACGTTAAACTTTTGGAATTTTAGTTCAGGCTAAATTTAATTAGCCTATATTTGCAAGTTCGACAGTTGCTAATTGAACTTCAAACACTAGCCATGGCAAACGAACGGCCGGCTGATCATGCCAGTGACGACGAAGAAGACAACGCCGTCAGACAAGCAAAACCAAAACAGCACGACGCCGGCAGATCTGACCTCGAAGGAATCAGAGACTTCCGCGACGAAGAAGTGGATGTTGGTGCCATCGACACTTCCATGCTGATCAGCAACCACAACAACGCAGAGGCACAGATCAAGATAAAGCTGAATAAAGAAGATATTGATATGATAGCAAGTGAGATGATGGTCTCGGTTACTGTTGCTGAGAAATGTTTGAGAGATCACAAGGGGGATGTTAAGTCAGCACTTGTTTATTTAGTCAACTGTTAGAGGCTGCTGGTGTTTTGAAATTGCTGCTTTGTTTGTAGATAAAGAGTTCATTACTGCACTCTGCTTAATATCGGGTAGGCTACAACTTTGCTCCGTTTAAATTTCTGATCTGCTGGAGCAGTTTCCTTCTATTTATAAGTTCCTTAAGTTTTAATTCTTTAATTTTCGCTTTTTTGAAAAGAGCTTGGGCGAATTTATTTTCATACCTGAATAATTGATGGATTAGAAGCTTATAAATCATATATCTTTGAAAGTGCGGCTGTTAATGATGTTTATTTTAGAAAGGTTTTTATAACGAGGTCCGCATCAGGTCAAATTTTTATTTGTTGAAATTGAAGAAACATGATGGTACGATATTTATTGTTTGTCATCTGCAGTATTGTTATTGATTCATTTTTTATTTAACCATGTACCCTCTGATCTGGGAAATTCACAGCTTTGCATTGGGTGACAGTTGATGAAATAAGAATATAACATAATATGAAATATTTTTGAGCTCACCTCGAGCCAGAATTTTATATGAAATGCATTGCCTTTAGGTCTCAAACATTGTTCATCGTGATCGGTTAACATACTGAAGTCTAATTTTTGATTCGAACCTCTTCCCGAATCTTTGCCTTTGTTCGTATTATAGCTTTATAGAAGTAATAAGAATGGTAAAGGAGTCACCTGGCTATCGATATTGTAAACAACTTATTGACATGAGTGCAGAGAGGAGCCTGTATGAAAAATGAACATTTCATTTTGGAATAACTTGAATCATTTAAAAAATATCTCAAATAATTACAATCTAATCTCAAATGCCTAGGAGTTTCTCGTTACATTTTCAATGTTCATGGTTAAAAGCTAGGAAATTTTAAACTCGGTTTGGGATGTCTTCATTGGCATCTCTGTATTTCTTGCAATCAAAATCAACTTTTCCTTGTTTTATACACTTGAACAGTTTCTTTTCTATCGTCTGAAATGGTTCAGAAAGTCAGCGGATTTCAGTTTAATCATCTTAAAATATGTAAAATTGGAATTGAAATTGATTGTAAGATGATCGCAGAATAAAACTTGTATTGTAAATGTCACTTTAGCATTTAGACAAGTCATCAAAACAACCACAATATGGCAACTATAAAGATACAAATGTTACTATCATGGAATTTCAACCCCGTAACTAAACAGTGAAGTGTACACCTCACCATCAAGATATCAAACAAACTCACCGTGCAACACTCTGTATCGTAGGGCAGGTCCAATACAGTAGGAGGTTGGCACTTATCCTTAGACTTGAATCCCTTCACCAAACATACCATATAGTTCCTAGCCAATGTACTCTTACACTTGAGGTTACTATTACTGCATTGTGAGTTGGATATAGCAGAGTGTAACATTACAGCTACAAGCAGGATGAAGATAGCTTGGTTCATTGCTAGCCGCTAGGCACCTGTGATTATCAAGTCGAAATTAAAACTTATTGACGAATTTAGATACACTAACTGTACCAGAACTTTTCGGTTATTAAGACTAGTGGAAGCAGGAAGACTAGTTTCCCGATAAATCGAGGTTCACGGTGAATCAAGGCACCATAAATAAGGGTTCGATTGTATCGATATTACGAAACTGTAATTCAATTATGTAACTTTTGCAACACAAATGTGAAATGTGTTTAGTAAGCGAATACAGATCACTAGAACTATTATAAAGAGCAATAATCATCTTCAAACAAACGTTATCTTGCGAAAAGCAACCCTATTCCTAACACCACTGCAGTTAGAGTCTCTAAATAGAATAGAATTATGAAGATAAAAGATATGTGAGCTACCGCTAACAAAACAAATTGTGCACTGAAATGAACGATCTGGAAAAATAATATCCTCAAAACTGCAGCTGGTGGTTGAGCTACGCAATTTAGTTTTACGTACGGGAGTGTGACGTGCCTTATAAGATATCGTCATGTTTACAACCAGATGGTGGCTGTGATACGTTTCATCGGTTGTAAATATTGCCGTAATTGGTGATTCGTGAGACATTTTATGCCATCTTTCCATACAGATCTAGCTTGGACACTCCTTGATGTGCTAAAAAAGTCCCCATATAAAGATATCAATTGGTTATTGAGATAATGTAATGTGGGGCGCTCCTCATACCCAAAAATGAGCCACATCTAGCTCAAGCGCAATTTCTGTCTTAAAACCACAAAAATTACCATAATTTATCTTAATCTTATGGTTTTAGTTGTAAAATGTATCAAGGAACACAGTAGTGAAGTCTGTTTGGTGTCAAATTTAATAATTTGACCGCCACGCCTATTTTATTACGAAAAACCGCCCATTTTGACGATTTTTGCCCGATTATCGCCCTCAGAAACTTCTACAATTTTACAGGATACTTCTAATGGCCAACCCCATATGACCTGACATTCAGAACACCATATATTTTTATTTGGAGTCCTAATTAGATAGCCGAATATTAGGGTAAAATTGAGAAAAGCAAGGATTTCTTAATGGGTATTCCAGGGAGTTGCCGATTGTGGAAAAAATATTTGGCCGATTCCAAAAAACTCTGCGGCTACTATCAGGAAAAAATCCAGATTATTGACTAGAAATTTTCAGAAAGATTGAGATAAACTTTCTAATTTAATTAGAAAGTTAATTATTAAACTACAAAGTGTATAGTTTTTTACTCACCGTGTATTTGCAGCACGAATAGAATTATGAATTAGGGGTATACTGGTTTGTAGGGTAATGACTTGCTAGTTGGTTTGTGTGTACGACTTAGAGGTGGCTACTTAGAGGTTGCGGCATGTTGCCAGCATTATGGCATCCTTTGTATAAGTTTTTCACTATCACTATGTTCGTAGAAATATTTCCTTTACCCTCATGAGTTTTTGTCAATATTGTGTTCGCAAAGGCGATTCCGCACGTGCCGCGATTTCCTTTTGACCTTGAATTGGCTGGAGGTTTTTTGAAAACAGTAGGAATTTAATTATTGAATTAGTGAAAGTTTAGAAGCAAGAACGGCAAAACTTCCTGAATTCTTATCAATTATTATAAGACCATAAAAATAAAAATGCGATACATTGTCTATTAAATGTTTAAAAATATCATATAACATATTGTGTAACACCGAAAACCATTTAATAAACGAGTCAAAATGTCAATTAAAGTTGTAACAATTAAATCACATTTCCAGCAAGTCCCACAATGTTCAGTTTAAGATCATGGCAAGGTGATACTACTTTAAACTCTGCTTGGGATATCTTCTAAGATTAATAATCTTCTTTCTCATCCTTGTAGGCGTTGCAGTTAAACGTAACCTGTCCTTTGCCCATACACTTGAACAGTTTCTTCTCAATGATCTGGGATTGATATGAGAGTTAGAAAATTTGCCTTGATGTTCAATAAATTGATTAAATTGGAACAGTTCAACAAAAGTTAGCAAATAAGGAAAATGTAAACTTGCATTTTAGTAGTTTAGCTGTAACGTTATAAAATGATGAACTAGATCTAAATAATGTAGTAGATAAATCGTAGATAATAAGTTGACTCACGGTGCAACAGTCTGATTCAAAAGGCAGGTTCATAACAGTAGGAGGCTGGCAATGACGTTTAGACTTGAACCCCTTCACTAGACATCCCATATAGTTCCTAGCCAGTGTGCTCCTACACTTGAGGTTTTTCTTACTGCATTGAGGGTTGGAAGTAGCGACGTGTAGGAGGGTTGCTAAGAGTAGGGTGAAGATAGCGTATCTCATTGCTGCTGTGAGTTTATGCAAATAAAATAATTAGTAAGAAATAAATAGGTGCCACATTGATAGGATATAATCAGACTAGGATATAATCAGACTAGGATATAATCAGACTAAAAGCTGTAGAATATACGATCCTTATCATGGCATGGGCACATCTGTTTCGAGTTTTTCTGACAGTCAACATTCTAACTTCTCCAAGTCACACAATACGACTAGAAAATAATGAAAGTTAAATTGCTAGAAGTCTGTCAAGTCTGAACGTTTCTCAGATCACTCGGCCGAAATTCAACATCTGGTCCCTAACTTTTAATCCATGTGATTGATTTTGTAATGGAATTCGCAACCAAAGGGCGGAGCGGCTCTATTACAACTCTGACGTTCATTATATTAACAGTTAACACGACAAATAATATTAAGTTTAATACAAGTTAAGTTAATACAGTAAAGGCTCCTGGCTCATTGCGTAACAATGGCACCTTACAGAAACTCTGCTAGAATAATCAATAGACGTACACCACAACTAATAACTAGAGATAATAACTAGAGATCCACAGCGGATCAAGCAGAAAGTTCCACCCTTTACAGTGCTGCAAAGAGCCGAGTGCTGCTGCCGCCAGTGCTAACATTGCACACCACCCTTTAAAGTGCTGCAAAGAGAGCTAACAAATGAACATTGCACACCACCTTTATCTCATGTGTTTGGTCTGCCATCTTTCCAGGCGGAATTAGCGGAATTTGTTTGATCATCACTCAATATATGGTAATTGCTGAAAGTAACTGTGGGGACTGGGAACTATATCAATGGTGAAATAGTTTACTTAAATTTCACGGATGGCTGAACACGCTGAAATAAACATTGGAGTTTGTGCAGTAAATAATGTAAAATTACGGTCCCCAGTTTCTAGGATTATTTCAATTATAATAGCCCCTCGCGGCGTGTTGGTGATGGTAATTTCTGGGTTAAATATTATACAATTTAGAGAAATATTAACACAATGTGTCAATGTAATTGTGTATAACTCTTGTGATAGAACTTACACTGACTAACTAATTTACAATTTTTAGGAAGGAAATCAAGACAAAATGGTCAGGACTATGGCAGGAGGGCAACGCAAAGGTAATAACATCAAAGCTCCATCACTAATGCAGGCTGGTCACATAATTGTAATGTCAATAACTACATGTTACGTGGTTACGTGTTCATTAGTTTGGGTTTCATGAGGCGAATGTTGGTTTGTTAGTGAACACATTCAGCGCTTTGAAATCATTGTCACATACTCACATCATCTTTACTAACAACAGGGCATGCACATGGGAACAGCGATGTCATGTTCACCTCGAAAGGCCACTTTTTAAGAAATGATATTATAATAGACTTGTACATCAGATATATTACCTTCACTACAATATTATAGAACATACCCTTCAAAATGGATTTGTGCCACTTTACTCAGATGTTCTCACATCACTTTCACACAATTCCGTAAAAGGCTGGTTCACATTTTTAACTGAGACGATTATGAATCATTATCTTTCAAGTATAGAACTCTTTATATTAAAAAGCAAATAACCCACAAAACCTCTCCTAAAACCTCCTCCCCTGCCAGCGGTAGCAGCTAAAGCTCCCCGGAAATCAGTAGGCTGCTCCTCCTCCTCCTCCTCCAGTGCAGCTGTCTCCTCTGTTTTCTCTCCTGGTAGAGCGGGTAAAGCTAAATCTAGAGCTAGTGGGGGTAACGCAGCTACTCAGTGGGATGCCCCCAAGTGGCAGAAGGGCATTACCTGCTTCTTTGTGAGTATTATACCTGTGCCAGTGTATTTTAATGTTGAGGCTAAATTGAGATTCCTTCTTGTTCCCTGTACTATATAGCTTAAGGGGGCCGGGGGGGGGTCTTCATCAAAATTCTCTCGAAATCGACTTCATAGTTGTTTCTGATAGAGGGGAGTGATATCTTTCAGCTGCTTTTGGTCCCATGGAAAAATATTGTCCCTAGCCGAAATTATCGCTGGTCAAAGGTCAGCGCTTATGTGTAATTGTATTGCGCGAGCGATTTTCAATCGCGCGTTCTGAAAATCGAGTCTAAAAATCTATCTCATCCTACATTTTTTGAGCGATCACCCTCAAACTTTCAGGATATGTTCTTAGGATCAGTAAGAAGAGAACTCTAGAGCCAGAATTTTGAGATAGGCCTTTAAAGATTTTTAATTCGATTTTGAAATTCTTGGACCTTAATTTTTAGAGGTCCAAGAATTTCAAAATCGGATTAAAAATCTTTAAAGGCCTATCTCGAAATTCTGGCTCTAGAGTTCTCTTCTTACTGATCCAAAGAACATATCCTGAAAGTTTGAGGGTGATTGCTCAAAAAATGTAGGAGAAGATAGATTTTTAGACTCGATTTTCAGAACGCGTGATTGAAAATCGCTCGCGCAATACAATTACACATAAGCGCTGACCTTTGACCAGCGATAATTTCGGCTAGGAACAATATTTTTCCATGGGACTAAAAGCAGCTGATAGATATCACTCCCCTCTATCAGAAACAACTATAAAGTCGATTTCGAGAGAATTTTGATGAAGACCCCCCCCCCCCCCCCGGCCCCCTTAACTACAAAGTTTACATAAAAAAGCAGCAACTGCCAATAATAAGCCTATAATTAGCCATGATTTTTAGCTTTTCAGCTTATTTAATACCGATCTTTATGTGTGAAACAGTAACCTTAACAGTGACCTAAACAGTATTGTAACCTAAACGGTATAGTAACCTAAACAGTAACCTAAACGGTATAGTAACCTAACCTAACTAACCCCTTCAGAAGAAGGAGGTGGAAACTAAAATAACAAAGCTAGGAGAAGACTCAGACAGTGTAACTGAGGAAGGGGAGGCGGTGTGTTCTCAGAGCAGTACTCATACTATAGATCTCAATGAGGCTCCCATCACTGCTACTGTTCTTAGCATATTCGGTAACTAATTGGTGGATATATCAAGTTTAATTCAAGTTAACATTTTAAGTGTAATTTAGGTTTTATTTAATATACAGTCAGTTAGTCTGTGGTTCATTTCTGTGAGACTTGAAATTTAACAGTTGTTTTCAGTCATCAGTCAGCCCATCAAATATTAATTACACAGCATGTTCCACCGGTTTTTACAACTTAACCTATCGACTGGCTGACCAAATGACTGATGACTGATAATGTGTTATAGCTTTATAGGGACCGACAGAATTGCTAGGCCACCAAAATCCACATTTATGTAAAATATTCAGTGTTCACCTGAGTTGAGTTGAGTACACTTACCTTTAAACCCCTCAGATGCCGAAGAGAGTGGTCCCAGTAGTAGCGGTAGTGTTTGTAGTGCGGGGAGTGATGATGGTGAACAACCTGGCCCCAGCTCCAGAATGTAGCTACAAGGCTATACGACTTGTGTGGGGTGTCGTGGCTACATGCTATATGGTTGCTTTCGGGTTGAAACACATGATTTCGGATCCTTGACATCGTTATGTACGGAACGGAATTCTATTAAAATATTTACCTGAATTGTGACATTTTTGACTAACTTATTACCGTACTCTATGAAATTATTCGGTTTGATATGGAAACTAACTCCTATTTTCTTATCGATCATTACTTTATAATCGACATTAGAATCATTGAATTTTTCATAACTGACAGAACGTTGTCCCGTTGAATATATCAAACCACAAATCTTCATTTTTAATTAATTTATTAACTAATAAATTACATTTCTATTTACATAATTGTTTTTTGCATCAATCGCTGTTTTTACAATTGATTATTTTCTTGAATAACTTACTGATTATAATAACTACCATTTTACTGGTTATTTTTATATTTCTTTTGCGATATTGAATAAAATCTAAGTTTTCAGAAACCAGTTTTTAGAGTTATTACTTATTAGAGAATAGTGATAGAACCAAGATCTATGTAATTCAAAACTTAACTTATTAGAATTTTGTAGTTGCTAAATAAAATAAAACTCCTTATATTACTAGTGATTGATATTTTAATTGAGTAATACTCAGATTAATTGTCAATATCCTATTACAAGTTAATCAATAGTGTTTACAAAGTAAATTATAAACCCTTTTTTGATTTGAATAAAGTTATACAATATTCTAATTTAACTGCTATTTATTTGCCTTCCCGAGATCGGTATATCTCGATACTTCTTTAGCATGGTATACGTATAATTAGACTGAACATACGAAGGAATAGCTAGCAATTAGCTCACAAAGTGATGCTTCGATATGGTGAAGATATTGTGTGTTGTTCTTCGCAGAATGACTGTATTTTTAACCTATCAGCGAATTTGTTTGTTCGAGTTTCCAATATGCTAAGACTTTTTAAATCAAATTAGCTTCCTTTTTTACAATTAAATATTTCGTTATTCAATTGAACCAGTAAACTTACAGTTATTTCATACAAAAAGAGTATTACTCTGGTGTTTATCTGTGTTTTAAAGTGTTTGATCCTAGATTCCGGGATATACACGGATCACTAAATCTTGCTAATCCGTATTTTATGTTATTTTGTAAAAACTCAAACTAATGAACTGTATTGTTAATCATATTCAACTATCCATTCAATGTTGGTATGAATATCTTGAAAAGTAACTTGAAAAGTAACTTGAAAAGTGTGTTATTCAACCCTGACAATCTCAGCTGTAGCAATGGCCGATAATCTAGCAGCGAACTTGGCCAAGTTCAATGTCAAGGACGACAGGATTGTCTCATTCGAGGGGCAGGGCCTCAAACTAGACAATGCACAGCTTGGTATGTACAGTGCAGTTTTTCAAAGCTTGTTAAAACTCAAACTTCTGATAAAAATCATAACTAACAACCAAAAATGTAACATTTCATTTTTATTACAAACGTAACAGATGTAAATTTTACAGCTGAAGATATAGTGAGAGCAATAGAGACATGTGCCAGTATGGAGATCCTGAATCTAGCTGGTAACACTCTCGGTGTTGAAGCCGCACAAGAGATAGCTAATGCTTTACAAAGCAGACCTACATTCAAGGTAGGAACATTTCCTGCTTCTTTTCAGCATATTTATTTTAAAACAGTACAGAACATCATAATAATATTCTTTAACCGAATTTAACGTGTTACCAAGAACACCGGAACCCTGCTTACTCCCTCCCCCAACCCTGCTAACCCTGCTAACCCCCTCTTTCAGTTTGCCCTGTGGAAGGACATGTTCACAGGTAGACTCCGCTCAGAGATCCCCGCAGTCCTGCGCTCCCTCTCGAGCGCCATGATAATAGCTAACACACAGCTAGTAGAGCTGGATCTGTCTGATAACGCGTTCGGTCCTGACGGTGCGGAAGCGATCAGAGGGTTGTTGACTAGCCCTGTAGCGTACACTATACAAACGCTGAAGTTCCAGAATAACGGACTGGGTGGTGGTGGCGTGGTTAGTTGTTAATGTTTAATTTTTGGGTAATTGTGGATCTTAGAGCTGTGTCGATGGTTAGTTTTGATAGTTGATGAAAAAAAGAGACAGTATTTGTGTGTTAAAAATGTCTAATTTAATATTTACTCGACATATTTTTTAGATAATAGCGGATTGTCTGACAGCAAACCATGCTCGAGCAAAGAAAGCGGGTAAATCACTTGATCTGAGAACGTTTATCGCTGGTCGAAACAGACTTGAGAATCCTGGTGCTAAAGCGCTGGGAGCCGCTTTCTCGGTGAGTCGGCACTTACCTCTTTAGTAGCTTGTTATTACAATTAACAGCACTTTAGTTCTCTCTTTCATAGCTTACTAGTACAATAAACTGGCAGTGTTTAATATCTCTATTTAGCTTGTCAGTACAACAAGCTGACTATATTGACTCCGTCACTCCTCACACTAAAAGTCAGTTGACACAGCTTCAACCCCAGAAACAATACCTATCGTCACAGCTGTGCTGTGTCAATATCTCTCTTAGTACAACTAACTGACAGAAGCATCTTCACCCCTAAAATAAGCTAGTATTAATAATTAATTAATTAACTAATTAATGTCATTAAAACCCTCATCCCTCAGTTGCTAGGTACATTGGAACAGATTGAAGTTATCCAGAACGGTATACAGTATGAGGGTATTGCAGCTCTAGCAGACTGTATCAAACACAGCCCAAATCTTAAGATTCTCAATCTAAACGACAATATTATGACGCCTAGAGGAGCTATTGCCATCGCTGAGGTACTGTGACAATTAACTGATCATTTTCCTTTCATTGATCTTTGTTCAATATTACCAGCCCCCTGGACGTTTGGTTTTGTATTGCCGAACTTTACAATCCCATCTTAACTCCTCAAACAATTCTTCTATTTCAGGCCCTTCCCTCAGCAACGATGCTGGAGGTTCTAAACATTGGTGATTGTCTTGTGAAGAGTAAAGGAGCTCTTGCAGTTGCTGAAAATATAAAGGGTCTCACTAAATTGAAGGTGCCCATTTTCTGTTCCGGTTTAAATGTTGTGTGTATGGAGCGCGCTGCGATACAAACTCATGACAAGATTTAATTTTGAATGGCGTTTCGCGCTTTACGCCTGTTTTTGTTGCTTGGCTGTAAGAATTCATGTGATGTGCCCGCCCAAAAACGTGGGCCGGCCCCGTATAACATTTACATTTGAAACCAAGCCTATCTAATCTCATAATCTGCCCAATAATATGCGTGCAGCATTCATCCTGTAATCTGGATTCTTGGCAAAACTATAGAATTGGCAAGTCATCCGACATTTCTGACGAGGGAAAGAATAAGCGGCTAGCCAATTATTACATTTAATTATTAATTAAATGAGATAAACGAGTTTAAGTGTTTAAAACATTCTGTGATGTGAGTACGCTGCTTGAGTCATCCTAATGTGCATTGCGTTCACTTTTTAAGCTATGTGTTATACCGTGATAGTAGAAAGAAGTACTTACTGGCATTCAGCCAGAAAAAGTCAAATAGATCCGAAATCAAATTGTAAGACATAACTAAATTTCAGGAACTGATACTCAGCTACAACGAAATACAGTCAGATGGTGGCGAAGCTATCGCCAAAGCCTGCGCAAAACTAGGGGCTCTTACAACATTAGATCTTGATGGGAACCACTTTGGAGATGACGGCAAGACGAAAGTTTCCGACGCTTTAGGAGTCGCTAAACTTTCTCTGCTGAAGCCAGGTATTGGATTGTTTATGTCATTATAGTTGTTTATAGACAGAATGTACGATGAACGTGGCCCATCTTTACATCTCCAGAAGTAGCAGTTCATTCTAATTGTTATACTTGACATTGAAACTTAACGAACTTGTACACCAGGTCTCGATAACGATGAAGGAATACCCTCTGACGATGAAGGAGAAGCAGAGGAAGGAGAGAAAGAAGAAGAGAAGGAAGAAAAACAAGACTCTCCAGAAAAAGCCAAAGCAGCTCCTGCTCCGTTTGTATTCGGAGCCCCTGCACCAAAATTAGTTGGACCTGACGATCCGAACAAAACATTTGGATTCGGGGCTCCGGCCGGGGCTGACTTCTCGTTTGGAAACGTGGGTGGAACTAATATCTTCGCTAAAAAGGACGAAGGTATGTTGATAAATACTTCATCAACTTCAGCTGATCTATAATTAAATTATTCTCCGCAAACTGTTCAAAGACTTAAAGTTTAGATATATGTATATTAGAAGTCAGTAGATATTAGGTAAGTTGTAGACGAAGAGATCAAACCTTCATCACCTATATTTCAGCTGATCACTCGTTCAAGGGGGTTGGTACAGCGCTCTTCTCAGCCCCTGGAACCGATGGCAATCCTGAAGGGGAACAGGATGTACACTTTGAGGCACTTGTTCATCTGGAGAAAGTAGAGGTGAAGACAGGAGATGAGGATGATGAAGAACTGTACAAACATCGGGCCAAGCTGTTCAGGTGTTTTACTTTAGTCCCTTTAAACTAGGAATAATGTCTTGTGTAACATCCGGACATGGTTATTGGGCGTATATAGATTATAAATTGATGATAATTTTTGACAAGGTATGTGACTTTTCGACACAATACGAAGTTAAGATACTCTAAAGAACTGACTGTTTATATCTCCAGGTTTGACAAGGACGTTGGAGCATGGAAAGAGCGTGGTGTTGGAGACATCAGGGTACTCCAAAACAAGTTCACTAAGAAATCCCGGCTTCTCATGAGACGAGACATCATCCTAAAGATCTGCTGCAACCACCTCATCACCAAACAAACAGAGATGAAACCCAATGCTGGCAGCAACAAATCCCTCGTGTGGTTCACCAGTTCAGATTATTCGGAAGGAGAACCAAAACCTGAGCAGCTGGCAGTCAGATTCAAAACCCCTGCCATCTGCGCAGAGTTTCTGGAAGCATTCACCAAAGCGAAAGAGGAGTCCCCCGAGCCGGGTTCCACTCCCACAAAGAAACCAGAACCTGCAGCCGCACCAAAACCTGCTGCACCGAAACCCGCCGAACCTGCAACACCTGCACCCTTCTCCTTTGCCTCACTGGCCGCTAATGCTGAGAAAGCTGCATTTGCCGCCAAAACCTCTCCCCAAAAGACTCCAGTGAAAGTGGGTGACGGTGACGCGTACAGAGAGGAGGCATATGAGCCAGACGTGCAGTTCGACCCCATTGTGAAGTTGGATAAGGTGGAGACTAACACAGGAACGGAGAACGAGGAGACCAAGTTCACGCACCGCTGTAAACTGTACAGGTTTGTACTAGCTGTCAAATTGTGTTGCACCTTGTGCCAATTTCAATGGTGGCTGACTTGAATAGAGAGAAATTGAGAAACTGAGAAATTCCTACGCAGAACATTATGCATATGTATTCTTGTGTAAAATTGTATTGATCCCGTTTGATGCGACAAGGAAAAATGCTCTTACCAGGAAAGGAATTTAATTGCAACCATGCGATTTTACATTATATGCATATAATGATATGCCTGTTTTATTTAGCATAGTTTCCATTTCCCGAATTCTTAATAAATTTTCCTTGTAGGTTTGACAAAGATGTTGGCGCCTGGAAGGAGAGGGGTCTGGGTGACATATCAGTATTGTGGAACAAGAAAGAGGGAAAAGGCAGGGTTCTTATGAGACGAGAGCAGATCCTAAAGTTGTGTTGCAATCACCTGATTACTCCGGAGATGGAAATGAAACCTCACCAAGGTTAGGGTTACTTAAACTCTTCTTGAGAAAATCACAGTTTGCTTCGTGTATTATTACAAGCTTTATTTATTCCGTTGCTTCGTCAATACGTCTAATTGAGTTTTATGCCTCGAAATTTTCCAGGTAACGACAAGTTTTGGGTGTGGCACACGTTTGCTGACTTCACGGAGGGAGAACCGAGATTTGAGCAGCTCGCAGCAAGGTTCAAAACGGCTGAGGCGGCCGCTCAGTTCAAGGCTGCTTTTGAGGACTGTCAGAATAACCTCGGAAAGGTGAGATGCGGGAGAGAAACACGAAAATGTTCTAAATCTGCAATCTTTTACATGTTATTTACAAATCCTGTAAATTACATAAGTTGTTGTTGTTTTTAAATTGCTCAAATATCAACACACATTCGTCACAGGTGGATTTGTCAGAAGACCCAGAAGCTAAACAAGCGGAAGAAGCTATCGAGAAAGTGAACCTCTCAGAGCCCGCTGCCGCCCCAGCTAAGGCTGGAGGCATGGCGGCATTTCTCTCAAAACAGAAGGATAACTGGACCTGCAACACGTGTGATCTGTCCAATGAGCAGAGTGCTAACAAGTGTATAGCTTGTCAGACCCCGAACCCTGATGCTCCTCCAGAAGCAGCTGATAACAACACTACAGATTCCGGCACCGGGTCCAAGTTTAATTTTGGAATGCCTAATTCTGCCATAGGAGGTTTCACATTTGGAACCCCAGCTGCCACAGTTCCTGCAGCAACAGGAGGGTCTGGGTTCAGTTTCGGACCACCGACTTCCGGGTTCTCATTTGGCAACACAGCTGCAGCCGTCCCAGCTCCAGCAGCAGCTGCTTCTGCCTTTTCCTTTGGTACTCCAGCACCAGTAGCCACTCCAGAGGTTCCTAGCTCTGGGTTTTCATTTGGGACTGCTGCCCCAGCATCAGCAGCGCCCACATTCCAATTTGGCTCAGGTGCAGCGCCTACCCTTCCCCCAGTGGATAAAACTCCTGCTAAAGAGGAAGAAAAACCATCTCTATTTGCTGGGTTCTCATTTGGCACCGTTCCAAAAGCAGACTCTCCCGCTTTAGAAGCAGTACAAACAGTCGGAGCATCAAGTGCAGTGGTAGAAATAACAGTCGACTACCCAGAGTTTGTAGCAGAACCTTCTGAAGCAATCTTGGAAAAGATCACCAAACCAGAGAGCGTCGCAGAAGCAGTCGGCTGCTCTGACCCCGGCAACGTAGCGTCCTTCGTCGGGAAACTCTCCCAGGTGATGAGCAACAAAACCACCAACACATCCCACCAGATCGTAGATAGTTTGCTCTCGTCCTGCTTTGCTCAAAACAGTCCCAGTATGTTGACCAACGAGCTTCTCGTCACCATGGGTCTCATCAAAAGCGAAAAGAAGAACTTTAAACCGGAGTCTGACGTAGAGAACATGTTGAGATTGATGGCACATGCTGTCGGGCAGGAGTACTTCCCTCCGTCCAGTGCTAAAATTATATCTGCTTTTGTTAAGAAGGACAAGGAAGTGTTAACTAATAAAATCAGTGACTGCGCCGATTTGTTCAAATCTTTCCAAATTTGAGACGATACGAGTGATAAAATGTTATTAAAGATTGATTAATTCCGATGGTACATAATATATATTTCGATGATTGCAGGTTCATTAATCGACGAGGTAGATTTTGTGAATTTGAATTAATTATTCATTATTTTAAGTAACTAGTAAATACAATTTTAAAATTTGTTGTTTAACTTTATTGGACAGGAAAGGGCGTATTTATTTTTCTATAGTTTTGGGAATACTGCCGCTTTTCGGCTGATATAGCTCGTTTTATTTGCTCATGCTACTTAAGTAGAAATTTTCCAGAATTATGAGACCCGGGAGGAATTTAATTTAAAAGTTGAAATTATCATGACTCTAATAAAGTTAAAAGTAAGACGACGTTCTCATTCACTATGACAAAATAATGATATTTTTAATTACATTTCTATCTTATTAAAATTTCGTATTTTATTTCTATTGGTTTAAGTCGCCACCAATACATCAACAAGAAACCAAGTTGGAAGGGAAGCTTCAAATCGAGTATATCCACTCAGAATCCAGGTCATTTCACTGATTAGGACGGTTAATTAGGGTAATGTTAAGGTAATTGCTAATTAATAAGCAAAGTATCTTGATACCACAGACACATTAGTACAGGAGCTCCAACTGCAGCAGGAACTGAGTCATTGGTAGTAAGCGCACGGTTACCATGACAACAGTATCTAGGAGCCAGTGCTGAGCATTTCCCGGTCTTAACAATTGACGTAAGGACGCTCAGTAAAGTTGCTCTGTTTACTTTCCTACTGTAAGCTTGTATCCTGGACTAGGCTTGTAGTTTTGTTGTTGGAGATTGTTTCACAAGTTTGTTTGGAAGGTGACGTAATTAGTGAACGAGTGCAAGTTTCCAACTCCTGTTTAAACAGTTTGAGTAGTTATCACCAGCGGTTATAATCAGTAGTTGTGAGGTGGAACCTGGCAATGGCTCAAGCTGTTAAACCCCCGCTAGCGGCACCTGATCTGTGGATTATAATGGACGCCACAACGACAAACAAAGAGTCCGTTCAATTATTGGAGGATTGGTGAGTAAAATAGTCGCCAAGATGTTAAAGATTGTTCAAGACAGATACGATTTCATTTACTACACGAATAATATACACTTTTATGACGTATTTTCGTTTGACAGATACAATTACAAGACAAATAAACTTTGTATGTTCGTCTAAGATCACCTATAACAGAATATGTATAACATGGATAATAAGGTGTGTTTTCATGGAAACTGTACCCTCAGGTTGAGGCAGCTGCCATTTCCAATGTGCAAGCCCAAGTCAGGAACCCACTCACCTGAATCTTATAGAGACTCTGTTCTAAGAAGGTATACTGTGATGATGAACAGTTTTCTGTTTTGTTTTGAAATACGAGAACTATACTAAATTGTGTTTCGAAAAACTGGAGAAAAAAAATTTGGCCATGCAGGGGATCGAACCCTGGACATTCGCGTTATTAGCACGACGCTCTAACCAGCTGAGCTACACGGCCATGTGAAAGAACTGCATTATTTTTCGTGCTTTCACATTTCAGAATCGTATTACATTTACAAAGCATGTGATATGGTATTATCGTTTTTTAAAGCTGGTGTATATTGAACAACATTTCAGGTGCTGCATATGTTTCGACAGAGTTAAGTGGTGCTACAGCGAAGTAGTCTACCAGTTTTACAAATCAGAGAATGTGATAAAGATCAGTGGTACCTTCAGGAATCCTGAAAAGGTTAAGATGTGGCCTACTGTGTTTACTGACGTCATTAAAGGTATTTCGGTTCATCACCACAGTTTACAGTAGAGTGACCGCGTAAACTCATTCTGCTTTCGGGCTTCTTTCGGTTGCAAATAAGTAATAACAACTTTACAGCTTACAACTTGCAATCACTTTCGGAGATAACGTTCTGCATCATGTTCTGTTAAAATGACTGTTCCAGTTTGATAAGCAACGAGCCCAGAACATGACTGGTTCTAAAGCTGTATTACAATAACTGGAATTGTACCCAGGTTGGCAGATAAAGAAGGATCTAGCATCACGCCAGAACTCATCATGTCGTGCTCTTACAGAGACAGATACTGAGTATTTCGAGTTGGAACCGCGCCAAATTGACGAACTTCATGCTACTAGCGAGGTGAATTTAGTAGTCAGCTTGGTTATAAACGCACTATATTATCATTGAATTATAACCAATCATTATCTATAATGTTTAAAGGTGTTCAATGGCCTTATGTTGGTCATATTATGTAGGTCATGCCTAATCGCCACTTATCCTATTATTTAGTTATAATTAACCATGATTCATCACACAATTTTATCTGATTGTTATTTATAGACTTCTCCCCATATATCCAGTGATTTATAACCACTTTGTAGTTTGTAATCGTGTCTGCGTTTAGATATGTTTCTGGTCGACCCATTTTCCGGAGAGTAAGAGGTTCAGGCAGTGTCTGCTGCTTACTGACGGGGAGAGGAACTGTTCCAAAGAGGAGTTTTTTAATAGAATAACAGGTACTTTCTTTAATTTTTAATAGAATAACAGGTACTTTCTTTATTTTTAATAGTATAACAGGTACCTTCTTTATTTTTAATAGAATAACAGATACTTTCTTTATTTTTAATAGAATAACAGGTACTTTCTTTCTTGCCAAGACACTGTTATGCTATCCATAGTTAACTGACTAATTGGTTACGGGTGACAAATTCAGCCAAAACTGTAAAATTTCGGTCTGGAAACTTCATCTTCAAAACTTAAAATGGGACAATATGATTTTTGACTTCCAGTACCTCAATTTGGTTTCATACCATCATCAATTAACTGACTAATTGGTCTCTAGACAAAAAGCCATCCAATCTGTCAAATATGTGTTCAGACATTTTCGTATTTGAAAATGGGACAGAAATTCGAAAATAGGAATTTTTGGTTTTGTTAAGATTTCTGCTGTGGGCTTCCTCCGATCGAAATCAAATTTCCAGCCTGTTAATTTTGTTTTTATACCATCGTAAATTAACTGAATAATCAGTTTTTGGGCAAACATTTAATCCAATCTGTCAAATTTGTGCTCAGAAAATGTCATATTTGAAAATGGGACAGACTTTTGAAAATGCAACTTTTGGTTTTGTTAAGCTTTCTGCTGTGGGCTTCCTCCGACCGAAATCAAATTTCCAGCAACTCAATCATGTCGTATGGGGTCTATAGTTGACTGACTAATTGGTTGCGGGTGAGAAATTCAGTCAAAACTGTAAAATTTCGGTCCTGGATATTTCATCTTCAAAAACTGAAAATGGGACAGAGTTTTGGACAATATGATTTTTAAATTTTCTTCGTGATTTTAACATTCAGTAGCTCAATTTGGTTTCATACCATCATCAATCAACTTACTAATTGGTTTCTGGGCAAACATTTCATCCAATCTGTCAAATTTGTGTTCAGAAAATGTCATATTTGAAAATGGGACAGATTTTTGAAAATACAACTTTTGGTTTTGTTAAGCTTTCTGCTGTGGGCTTCCTCCGATCGAAATCAAACTTTTAGCAACTCAATCATGTCGTATGGGGTCTATAGTTGACTGACTAATTGGTTGCGGGTGAGAAGTTCAGTCAAAACTGTAAAATTTCGGTCCTGGAAATTTCATCTTCAAAAACTGAAAATGGGACAGAGTTTGGGATAATATGATTTTTAATTTTCTTCGTGATTTTGATTTTCAGTAGCTCAATTTGGTTTCATACCATCATCAATTAACTTACTAATTGGTTTCTGGGCAAACATTTCATCCAATCTGTCAAATTTGTGTTCAGAAAATGTCATATTTGAAAATGGGACAGACTTTTTAAAATACAACTTTTGGTTTTGTTAGGCTTTCTGCTGTGGGCTTCCTCCGACCGAAATCAAATTTCCAGCAACTCAATCATGTCGTATGGGGTCTATAGTTGACTGACTAATTGGTTGCGGGTGAGAAGTTCAGTCAAAACTGTAAAATTTCGGTCCTGGAAATTTCATCTTCAAAAACTGAAAATGGGACAGAGTTTGGGACAGTATGATTTTTAAATTTTCTTCGTGATTTTGACTTCCAGTAGCTCAATTGACAATTCGGTTTGCGGGTGACAAATTCAGCCAAAACTAAAATTTTGCACCTGAAAATTGTATCTTCAAAAACTGAAAAGCTGAAATAGGGTTAAGGGACAGAAATTGGAAAATCTGACTTTCAGATCTCAAAAAGGCCTAAAAATCTTAACCCGGTTACCAACTTTACTATAGTTAGTATTACTTACTGAATCACCCTGCGTAGGAAGTGGTGGAACAGAGAACAAACACAAGATATCCCGGTATCTTTTGGAGAATGACCTGTACGGTGTGATATGTGTGGATCGGCAGGGAGGCAACTACATTCTCTGGTTACCTTCCACTCTCTCAACTCACACTGGGGTTAGTTACCTTCCACTCTCTCAACTCACACTGGGGCTAGTTACCTTCCACCCTCTCAACTCACACTGGGGTAAGTTACCTTCCACTCTCTCTACTCACACTGGGGTTAGTTACCTTCCACTCTCTCAACTCACACTGGGGTTAGTTACCTTCCACTCTCTCTACTCACACTGGGGTTAGTTACCTTCCACTCTCTCAACTCACACTGGGGTTAGTTACCTTCCACTCTCTCAACTCACACTGGGGTTAGTTACCTTCCACTCTCTCAACTCACACTGGGGTTAGCTACCTTCCACTCTCTCAACTCACACTGGGGTTAGTTACCTTCCACTCTCTCAACTCACACTGGGGTTAGTTACCTTCCACTCTCTCAACTCACACTGGGGTTAGTTACCTTCCACTCTCTCAACTCACACTGGGGTTAGCTACCTTCCACTCTCTCAACTCACACTGGGGTTAGGTACCTTCCACTCTCTCAACTCACACTGGGGTTAGTTACCTTCCACTCTCTCTACTCACACTGGGGTTAGTTACCTTCCACCCTCTCAACTCACACTGGGGTTAGTTACCTTCCACTCTCTCAACTCACACTGGGGTTAGTCACCTTCCACCCTCTCAACTCACACTGGGGTTAGTTACCTTCCACTCTCTCAACTCACACTGGGGTTAGTTACCTTCCACTCTCTCAACTCACACTGGGGTTAGTTACCTTCCACTCTCTCAACTCACACTGGGGTTAGTTACCTTCCACTCTCTCAACTCACACTGGGGTTAGTTACCTTCCACTCTCTCAACTCACACTGGGGTTAGTTACCTTCCACTCTCTCAACTCACACTGGGGTTAGTTACCTTCCACTCTCTCAACTCACACTGGGGTTAGTTACCTTCCACTCTCTCAACTCACACTGGGGCTAGTTACCTTCCACTCTCTCAACTCACACTGGGGCTAGTTACCTTCCACTCTCTCAACTCACACTGGGGTTAGTTACCTTCCACTCTCTCAACTCAC